ACTTCCTTCTGCAAAAACAGAACAGCCACAATGTCTGTTTCATTTCACATGTGATTTATTTGCATGGCCTCAGTGTGTACGAGGTCTAAGTCTGTCTGCACTGGACCACACACTATTTAGAAGTGTACCAGGGTTTATGGACTCTCCTCTTGTTTCACAACCTGTTTGAAAAGGACAAAACATCTGTGAGGACACAATATAGACAGTTGAAGCAGGATCAACAGAAAGTAATGATAGTGTATTATTGTGGGATTATTCAAGACCAGGTCCAGTGAGCACAGGCTCCTTAAGTGAATAATAAATGATAATACGCTGAACTGGCACTCTGGAGCACTCTTTCCTAATCACTAACATGGAGCTGTGTTTGATTTCATTCACTGTAACATCAGCACAATGAAATCCATGCAGGTCATACACCTTCACCAGGCCCGATCAGGGCTCAAGTTGTCCTCACTACACAATTTAGCATTTTTGACAGTAGCAGAAACTGGAAGCAACCGTGATTTTATTCTTACAAACAGGAAGGAGCAGTGGAGGAACAGAGAGTGGTTAGCATCTCACCAGCCAGCAAGAAGGCCTTTCTGAGTAGAGACATAGAAACAAGCTTATATTTATATTACATAATTTATTATTTTATATTGTGATGTAATATAACAGCGCCTGCAGTGATGTGGTCGATGTATTGAACCTTCATGGTGAAGAGTGAGCTGAGCTGAAAGGCAAAGCTCTCGATTTACCAGTCAATCTACGTTCCTACTCTCACCTATAGTGATGAGCATTGGGTAATGACCGAAAGAATGAGATCGCGGATATAAATGGCCGAAATTAGTTTCCTCCATAGGGTGGCTGGGCACACCCTTAGAGATAGGGTGAGGAGCTCAGTCATATGGGAGGAGCTCGGACTAGAGCTGCTGCTCCTCCACGTTAAGCCAGCTGAGGTGGCTCGGGCATCTGTTTCGGATCCCTCTTGGGCACATCCCTCGGGAGGTGTTTTGGGCATGTCCCACCGGAAGGAGACCTCGGGGAAGACCCAGGACACACTGGAGGGACTATGTCTCTCAGCTGGCCTGGGAACGCTTTGGGGTCCCCCTGGAGGAGCTGGAGGATGTGTCTGGGGTGAAGGAAGTCTGGGAGTCCCTGCTTTATAGTGCTGCCCCCGCGACCTGGCTCCAGATAAGTGGAAGAAAATGGATAGATGGATATTGTGATGTGTGAGCTACTGTGTCTAAGTCTAATGCGCTTGCTGTGTGTGGGCTCAAGACTAACTCCCATAAGATCCAACACAACAGTGGTGTGCAACTTAACAGATAAACTGACCTCTTGGCCTGGTCATTAGGGATGTCACAGTAACCGAAATATTGTGATATTGTGTCGTCAAAAGTCTCACAATCTGTCTGTCACAATATATCAAATTACAAGTTCCTTTGCTTAAATGCATGCTTTATAGTAGCAACAGCTTATGAACATCAGAAACTACATATCCCATGATTCATTTCAGTGCACACAACATGTAAATATATGTTTTTACTTGAATTCTTGGGATTATGATGGAAATAATTCACACCAAAATCTTGTCAAGGTATTTTAAAAGCAAAAAAGTGTCCCATCTACAATTATATTAACCTCTTCCAAATATTGCAATAAATATTGTACCATGAGATGCATATCATGATAATATCGTACTGAGAGATTTGGATATCATTACATCCCTACTGGTCATCCTTGCAAAACAAATCCGTGTCTAACCAGATTGATTAAATTGATAAAATGTAATAGAAATAGTATTAATAATAGCATTGCTTTAAGCTTTAAATGAAATGATGTCCCCTTTCAATTTGCCAAATAATGCAGTCCTACTTGTAGTTCCATGTGTTTGGGCGTTGTGTAAAATAACATGTCTTTCAGGTATTTCCAAGATCTATCCATCCATCTTCTTTCGCTTATCCAAGGCTGGGTCATGGGAGCAGCAGTATAAGAAGAGACTTCCAGACTTCCCTCACCCTGGACGCTTTCCCCAGCTCCTCCAGTGGGACCCCAAGGTGTTCCCAGGCCAGCCAAGAAACATCAGCTGGATCCTCTTGATGAAGAGGAGCACTGGCATTCCACGGATAGTCATATACTTCAAAGATAAACATACACATTTAGTACCAATCTGAAAACTTTTGTCTAAAACATTCAATGGAATGTTGTATGGCTCAAATATAGTTAGCATATCACGTTCATATTTTCCTCAAATTTTTTCTTTCAGCATCCAATCACAACAACAAATCCAAAAAAAAACAGGAGACAGACACACAAGAAGTCTGTCATGATTCAAGCCAAAAAACTGAAGATGAAACTCAGATGTCCTCAATTGTGCAGGGGATTGTGGGTAACTTTCAGTCCATGTGATGAAGGTCAAGAGGTGGTTTTCACACACATTTAGAACTGTACAGACTTTGGCATTTCTTGGCTCAAATAGTTTTCTGTGAATTTGGTTTGGAAGGGGTTCAAACTGGAGTGGGTGTAGGAGAGGAAGAGTGAGGACCTGGGATGTTCCTACACAGAGGACAGATTTAATGCAGAGTTTTATAGCTGCTCTGAGAAATAGCATTGATTTACCTTCTGTTTTGTTGTGATCGTTTGGATGTTTTGTCCATGAATAATCTCTGTTAGGGACCCTGTGACCATAATATGTCAACTACATTCTTGATGATGCAGGGCTCCCAGGTTTCAAAAAATCCCACAAATCTGATCCAAAGCATCAGTAAATCAGCCCAAATTTTGTGGCATATAAATAGTGATTTTAATTTATTTGATCAAATGCATGCAATACCTTTTGCCACTAACCTAATCCTAACACAGTGGAGGAGGTAGCAGTGCACAGGTAAAAACGCATTCGTGTCTTGGAAATTATTCTCCCGACGTGAAATATAAAAGAAAATAACAAATTTAAAATTGCCTACATCTTAAAAGTCACTGGTGAAAACAACCTGCATAGGCTCATGATGTCTGCACTACTGTCCTATAGTGACCTGCCACATGAGGGGACACGCACACAAACACAAACACACACCTTCATCATCGTCATTAACCTGAGAACGCACGGACCACGTTTCCTTCCGTAGTTACTGCGCGGACACCGACGTGCTCCCGTGAGCCGCGTACGTTTTCTCGCGTACGCTGCGTAAACCGCGCTTCCTCCTGTGCGCCTCTAAACCAGAACTAACACCAAGACTAAAACCCAACCAGGCCAGGACTAAACCAGGACTAAACCAGGACTAAACCAGGACTAAACCAGAACTAACACCAGGACTAAAACCAGGACTAACCCATTCCAGGACTAAACTAGGACTAAAGTAGGACTAAAACCAGGACTAAAACCAGTGATCTCATATATAAAGCATTTCTCTATCAATAATATTTTTAATATGGTTAAGGAAAGACTGGACATTTTTATTGTCTTTAAGTAGACAAAAGTTATTATGTTCAGATTTCCTCGTCTTTGCTACTTTACAGCAAACAGTTTCTTATTCATGGAGACTTGGGCTCAACAGCCAATTTGAAGAGATTTGTTAAACAATAAATGACTTTATAAAGTCACTTTTTTTTTGTTCTATATCAGTCTTTTGATCTGCCACAATAATGTAATAATGAATTTAAATGAAAATACCTCAAATTGAAGGCTTTTGTCAGCAATTTTTAGATGAGATTAAGAGATTAATTAGATTAATTAATTACAGATTATAATTAATTAATCTCTCAATTTTTTTAATCGCATGACAGCACTAATAAAAAAAAAAAAAAATGTGTTTCTCACCTTCCACGGTGGTAGGTCTCTCTCACCCTCATTCAGCTCGGGTCCTCTACCAGAGGCCTGGGAGCTTGAGAGTTCTGCGCAGTATCTTTGCTGTTCCCAGTACTGCACTTTTCTGGACAGAGATGTCCATTGTTTTTCCCGGTATCTGTTGTAGCCACTCTTCCAGTTTGGGGGTTACAGCCCCGAGTGCTCCGATCACCACAGGCACCACTGATGCCTTTACTTTCCAGGCTCTCTCCAGCTCTTCCTTGAGCCCCTGGTATTTCTCTAGCTTCTCGTGTTCCTTTTTCCTGATATATATATATATGTATATATATATATATATATATATATATATATATATATATATATATATATATATATATATATATATATATATATATATATATATATATATATATATATATATATATATATATATGAGAAACACATTTTTATTAGTGCTGTCATGCGATTAAAAAAATACAGTGCATTATAGTGAGGGCCCCAAACTCAAGTTCCCCAAACTCAAGTTCACCTAGGGCCCCCAAATTGCTAACTCTGCCACTTATTGTCTGTTTTTCCCTCATTGTTCTTGAGACATGCACATCTCCATCTTTCCAGTTATGGTGGATTGGAAACTTGTCTTATTAGTTAGGAAGACTATTAGATAATCAGAACTGAAAGTAGTTTTATTTTTTTGCTACTACAGTTTCATTTTTGTTTTTGTTTATATGATTATTATTTTTCTTATGACTATTGTTTAAAAGTAAAATACTCTCATTTAATGTCATATTGAGAGAAAATTTTATTGCTCTGAGGCTTTTGCGTTTAGTGGCACTGAGGGCAATTGGTTGGGGGCCCCTCCAGGTTTGGGGGCCCTAGGCAGCCACCTACTTGCCTAATGGTAGCACCGCCTCTGCCCTAACATCATTTATTTAGCTGTCATTATACTGTGATTTGTGAACTACTGCGCACAAGTAAGTTCAATCAATTTGCCATAATTTTCAAACATCAAGGGCAAAGCGCTCATTTTGTTTTTCTTTCTAAGAATAAACTGTGTGAAATAGAACTGCTTTCATCTAAACTGAGCAGAACAGAACACACAATAAACACAATTTAAAGTTGAATGAAAAAGGTGCAAACACGGAGCAGCTGCTAAATCACACAATGAAATTTACCTTCACTAAAACAAAAACAAAAAATAAAAGTAGAACTGAAGTGTACTTAATTCCCTTTTTATTGTTGAATTTGCAGATAATAACATCACAGACATAAGGAAAAACGGACGAGACAAAAAAGGTTTGGTGCATGAACAGAATAACATTACACAATAGATCCTTAACATACTCCACTGGACAGTCATCAGGTACAATATAATAATATCCTACACAAGTTACTATAGTCATGTTTAAATTAAGAAGAACTGTACAGAGACATGGAGACAGGGTCCAGAGTCATGTGACTAACTGAGGGGACTGTGAAATTTTATTTTAGTTCAGTTTAGTTTAGTTTAGGTCCTCCTGTGAAATAAAGAGATGTAACCAAGTCAGTTACCTAGTGTTTTCACTCGCTTAATATTTAGTGTTATGTACAGTGGTTGATTTAAATAGTTTGTATGATTGTCTATACTTGTTTTTTTTTAATGAAGACCTTAGATAACTTGGAGATTATGTGGTGGCTTGCTTGACGTGTGCAAGCAATTTCACTTTAAACATTTATAATTATGTGGTGAATTCTCGAAACAAAACAATTCCTCAAAATTCTGTACAAACATGCAAGGGTTATTGGCAAAGGACCACTGTCTGGATTTCCGTTTGGATTCGAAAGTGGATTTTTCTGACCAAATCCTGCTACAGAAGCTGCCAGATGACTATCTTCTTACACCTAATCTGACGAAGGCATATTGGGTCAATGATTGGGGCAGAATGTGATTGTTTTGATGGATTAAAAATAGTTATAAAAGTGTTATGAAAAGTGTTATGAAAATAGTTTTGAAGTGTGAACGCCAGAAAATATAATAACAGCAGAACTTCACTGTGTAACTTCATCTGCCATCTATCACACTCCATAGAGATGTTTTGCTTTGCCTAAAATGTTCCACAGCATAGCATTAACCCCATCCATGTTCATGAAGACACCACTAGGTAAAGTTACAGTTTGGATTTTGTTTATCAATAAAAACCTGTCACTGAATAAATACAAGATATACATTTAATGCCATAATGGGGTACAAAGTAGGCAAAGCAACGACTTTGCCATGGAAACAAGCAGGTAGCATAATCTCCACCACCAGAAACGTTAGACAGAGCATCTAAAGGCAAGCATAGACAACTAAAATGCCATTCACGAACAGTAGTTTTTTTTCCAAAGCTTGATTGGGTTAAATGTTACATGTAATTGTATATCATCATAAAAAGTCAAGTATGAGAGGGACTATCCCAAATGTTGATTCATCAGCTCTAAAGCCTGTACATGTCCTGCCATTACCTTATACAGTTACACTTTAACAGCCACATAAAAGATATGGTGAATAAAATCTAAGTTGTAAGTTGAGGCCATTGGTGAAGTAAAAAGTACATTAAGATATATGTGTCTATAAAGTCAAAATCTGCAGTTCATATGTGTGACATGTATGGCCAGAAAATATAGGGGTTTTCCAATGACTTCCACTAAAAATTGTCAGAGCTTATACATAAAGACTGGTGACTTCATATTTGGTAAGATTATGACACAACTTCTCTAGAACAGTTTTGGTCATTTAGTTTTATGTTATTACGTTAAAGGTACTCTATGCAACTTTTTTGCCAGATGCTTGTGTCTATGGAGATGTAATTCCTTTAATTGTCTAGCTCAGGGGTGTCCAAACTTTTTTCATCAAGGGCCACATTTCTAAACACAGATGAAGCAGAGGGCTGATCAAGGGCCGTAGACTGGAGCTCAATACAGTGAAGAATTGAAATATGTGCACGTTTAACACTTTAGAATGAGCCGTCAGTGTTTATTCATGCTAAGATCCTTAAAACAACACACTAAATACTAAACATTAGCTTTATCAAGATATATTTTCAAAAAACTTGCAGTAAAAAGTTCATTTTTAATTGATGCAAGGTAATTCGGGCCAATTCACCTGGAAGCCTGAGTGAGGGCCAAGAAAAATTTGTCTGAAGGCCACATTTGGCCCATGGGCCATAGTTTGGACATGCCTTTTCTAGATGTTCCACAGTCTCGCAGTGAATGTAAATATCTCCATGGAGGCAAGCAGGTGACACCACAAGATCAAGTTACAGGTAAGATCAGTGGACGGGCGACCCCTCTCATTGTAAGGATGCCTGTTAAGTTAAATTTCTTACAGCCATTCAAACATTACAGTATTATTTTGGACACTATAAGAATGAAATCCCATAAGATACATTTGGTATTTTTTTCTTTCTCATAAAAATGCTGTATATGGTTACTTTTATTCATTTGATTGAAGAATGTGTGACTGCACTGATTTTATACACTTGCATATCTTTATTTCCAAGCTAGATAATAACAGAGTAGAGACATGAACTCAACAATGTGGTTTGCCAGCTCAGTATTTATCTGTTTGCCAACATTAGCGTCTGGTCTGAGCCACTCTTGGCCATGCGATGTTCAAATCACTCACACAACTGGCTTCACTTCACTCAAGCAATCTTACAGTTTCATAATGTCCCCTCAAAGGAGTCTGGTCTGGAAACTTCAACAGAAAAGTGACAGTTGGAGAGACTTATTCTGACCTCTTTGTGAGCTGTGTTCCAAATCGGTGCATGCCAAAGGAATGTGTTTATATGTATAAGGCTTTTTGACCCCTCCTGGACCCTGTACTGGCATGCACAAAAGCAACCTATAACATAACACAACAGACAAAACACAGAATTCTCAATATTTACAAAGTCTATGGCTCCATACATACTCTGAATAAACATTACAGTAATCAAAAACACTCCAGATATATAGTACTGTGCAAAAGGTTTAGGTCGACTTACTTGGGTTTAGACCTGTTTTAGTCCTGATATAGTACTTGTAGAGTCCAGGTCTAGTTCTGTTTTTGACCTGATTTAGTTGCGTTGTTTGTGATTTTTGTGTCATGAGAATTTTAATTTTTGTAATTTTTTTTTTAGATTTTTATAAAAAAAAAAAAACATTTACCAATCAACAAGAGGCTTTCTCAGCACTATCTATCTCATTTTGAGGACTTTTAACAATTTAAAAGAATACATTACTTTGAATTGTTAATTGCTATGGTGTTGTTCCTACTTTTTTCCATCACTTAAGCATTATCTAACTTTTCTGGTCCCCAACCTCCTTGTCTTCTCAGGGATGCCTTTGTTTTATCTGGAATGTTACACATTAAACACATCTATCTCAAGCAGCTCACAGTAAAAATGCATGTTTTTGGAAGTATTTTTAGCCATAAAAACATGTGTAATTGAATAAATGCAAGATATGTTTAATGCCATACTGGAGAACTTTCCATGCAATGCAATAACATCTCCATGGAGACTAGTAAGGAAGAGCAGGCCACACCATAGAACGTTATATTGCACGGTGCAGGACTTTTGGCAAAAAATCTTGTCAATCCAAAAACTGTTTAAATATTTCTTCACGCCCTCCTCGGGGTCACATTGACCCGAAGAAATTTTCCTTTCCTTCCCGCTCTCTAGGGGTGGGTCAATCAGACCCAAAAATTAATTTTCTGGCCTAGCGAGAATTTATTTGAAAATAAATTTCTGGGCCTGATTGGCCCGCCCCAAGAGAGCGGGAAGGGAAAAAAATTTTCTTCAGATCAATGTGACCCTGAGGAGAGTGTGAGGGTTAAAAACACATTTGAGTCTTTAAAAACCTGCCGACAGGACTTGTGCACAGTAATGTATATTATTGTACTCTCCCACCTCCACCGCTCTTCATTTCCTCATAGTCCGGGCCCATTTGTAACGTGATAAGATACAGTAGAAGAGCGTTTTTTTTTTTTTACAGTGACCACCCAGAGCACTGATCCACGGATTTAAAACTCACCATGTCCAACTTTGTCCAACATTATCTCTATCACCATGTATGAAGATAAGAAAAGGCAGCTAGGTTTCATGAAAACACATACAACCAACTGGAAAGATAAATAGGAAAAATGACTTCAAAGCAAAAGCATTGGGACAGAGTAGGAATTAAGTGTTATGGTCTTTGGGTTGTTTCTTCCAGTGATAATATTTTAATGGGTGACAAAAAAAGACATGATCCATAATTATAATGATAATATGGGAAGGGGGGTGGCCTAACAATCATAAAATAGCACATAGAACTATACAAATTGTCATGTGACCAATGTTAAGACGCTATAGGGATGAATTAGGAGAGGGAGGAATAACTTTGGACCACTGCAAACCATTTAAAATTATTGTAAACTTAGAACATGTATCTGATCTTTTGATAGATGCTGAGCAAACTTTGGTATAGGTCCTTTAGTATCAGTAAATTGTGTAAATTGTGGTGGAGTATAACACGCTGAAAAACGGATGGACGGATCTTAATTTTGGACAGTTACAATACAAAGCAGTGTGCACTTTTTATGGCTTAAGACACAACTTCACAAATATTGGTCTAAATTGTAAAGCAGTATTGAATATTGTTTCTGGCATGACCGTGCTATTGCGAACTAAACAATCTGGGAGAGAATAGACTATAAATATGATTAGGCGGCAAATAAGTTCTATTTTGTTTAACATTGTGAGAATAACAAAAACTTGGATTGAAAAGCACTTCATAACGTCTTTGGTCAAAAAAGAAAAGGATGTGTAAAAAGCCATGAGAAGGCACAAATATTTTTTACTCTGAAGCTAGAACTGTATGCATCTATTCCCCCAACTAAAAAAATTGTAAAAAAAAGTGATTTGTCCACAGAGAGAAATCTGGTTCAAAACTTGGTGCTGTTGCTGAATCCGTCAGAGAGGATGATGTTTTTGTAGAAGTTGTCAGAGCGAGTAGAGCAGTAACCTTTGACCTTATCGATCATCTGGCTGACAGGAAGTATGGAGGAGGGAGAGGAAGTGGGCTCCAGCTCCGAGGAGGACACCGAGGAGGAGACGCACTTTGGGCCACTCGGGGTCGGAAAGCATTTATCTGTGGACACAAAGCAAAACAACAGGTTACAGATTAGTCACAACATGTCAGCTATCAGAACAGCTGTTTGGTTTACGGGACATGGGAACAGCTAATGGATCATGGGTGAATCATTTGTGTTGTCTAAATCTGCAAAATGATCAGGCCGGGAAAGGCTTTAACTTAATGAAACAATCAAAAACTAATGACACTATTAGACACAATACAATTACTTAACAGTTGTAAAAATAAATGCAATAAATTCTTAATAAAATTGTTAAATTTTGAGGCTGGCCAGCACAAAAACTCATCTTGCTTTTCTCATGCTTTTTTCCACAGAGATGTTATTGCTTTGGCTGGAATGTTTGACAGTATGGCAATAAACCTTGTGTGTTCATGGAGACCAAACCAGACCAAGTTACAGGTCAGATCTCTGGAGAGGTGACCCTGCTCACAGTCAGAATTTTGTTTTTCTAGGGATTTTTGAGCTATAAAACCACCTGTAATTGAATAAATGTAAGGTAGGACTGTGTAATGTCATATTGTGGAACATTCCAGGCAGAGCAATGACATATCCATAATGTTACACAGTGGACATTTAAATATGAACATAACTTTTCTGGTGAAGGGTTAACTACCTACTTTTCTCCATAGGAATGACTGTTTTGCAGAGAATGCTCTGTAAGATGGAATAAATGTATTTATCTGCATAAAAATAAGCAGGCGACAACATCAGGCAAAGTTACAGTTCAGATCTGTGGAAAGGAACCCTCTCCCTGTAAGAATGCATGTTGGTTTTGCAAGCTGATTTTCAAGCAGCAACAAAAAAAATCCAGATAACACAATAGCATCTTGATGAAGACAAGCAGATAGCGGACCATCACTAGAAAAGTTACATAGTGCAGCTTTAATAAATAAATACACAAGGGAGCCTTAAAGTTGCACTAGTCACATTTTATTTCTATTTGTATTTCAGTTTCAGTGTAGTAGACTTTCTGTAATGCCTTCATTCCCCCCCAAACATAGGCTGCAAAAAAAAAAGATAATTATTTTCTAATACTATTTATTATAGATTGTACATACATGTCTGTTTTACAGTTCTTTCACTGTTACTCAGTTCTGCTCCATTTACTTATCATTACTGCAATTAATATCCCCTTAAAAATAACAATTATCCAGCCATCCACAAGTCCATGGTTAAGTCATGACTTGGCTGTTTGACTGAGAAGTGAGAAGTATAGGTTCCAGCCACTGGGTTCACAGTCTAACTCTTTATTACACAACATAAAAGTGCCATTTTTAATTAATTGCTGGAGTTTTACAGGAAGAGAAAAAGCAGAGTAGAGTTACAGTGCACTACGTAGTCTCTTTAGGATAGTATAGAGCAGAGGAATGTGAGCTATGGCCAATATTAATACAGTGAGTGTATATATGTGTGTATATAGGAGGAGCTGATTAAAACTAAACAGACACCAGCCCAGCCTCTGTAAAGCCTGAAGATTCTTGCTCTATTTTCAGGGGGATAGAGTGAATCCTATGGCACATGCATATGTCATAACATGAGTTAAGCTTGTAGGCGTTACAGGACCACTGTGAAAATGTGGAGAAAGATTTCCAGAACACACAAAAGACCAAACCAGGTCCCAAGCCTGCGTGACTAATGAAGAGTGATTAGCTGTGGCAAATATGTGACAGGCAAATTGCCATAAAGAAAACAAGGGAGGCATTGGGATTAGTGTTATTACGATACAAACATTTCAAATTCGATTTTGATACTAAGGAATACACTCGATACTCAATACCAATTCCAATATCACAACGATAATAAAAACATTAATTTCTTTCCAGGTTCCATAATGGTCCATGAATGTATGTGGCCTTATACTTTTTTCTGATACAACTCAAAATCATTCTAAAGTTATTCAGGAAATGTCAATTTAAAAATACAATTTGGATGAAAACGTGACTACTGTCTTTGAATATTCATTGAAGTTTCCATCTCATATCTTCCAAACTCACTCAGTTTGGCATCTATTCCTATTCCTTTATTCCTTTAAAAGATTTTCACAGTTTCTTAGAGCAGTGACTAATGCTCAGAGTGTGTGAAGCTCTGCTTAGGTCAAACCCGGGTCCCCAAATACAGTATCTTAACTACCGCTTATGAAAAATATTAATTTTTCTCAGCAGTGACTTGGCTGGAGGAAAATAATGTGATTGAATAGTGATAGCTGTGGTCATGAGAAGCACTCAGGAGGTAAAGTGGATATAAATAAGACTTTAGGTATTCTGTCCAGTAATCCAATCAAATCTAATAAAAATGAATGGACTCAGAAACAGTTGTTACCATATTCATTGTGCTTGCCAAACCAAAAAATTGGTTAGAAATAAATCCAATAAATCCAAAGGCAAATATGGATTATTTTCAATTGTCTTCTCTCAGTTTGGACAATTTGCTAATCTTTTCTGATTTACTTTATTGGTTACAAACTTTTATCTGCTGCAAAATGCTTTTTCAAACTACAGATTGAAAAGAGCCATAGAATGTATAAATGGACATAGGAAGTGTTGATGGGGGCGCTTCACACTTTCTTAAAATTTTCGCATTAAGCCACTCTACATGACCCTGGTTTGCTGGTTATTTTGCGTCGCTGTCTGTAAATAAATTCCTAATATGAAGTTGGGTTCCAAATTTGCTTTTATAACCGTGAGCTTCATTTGCCTGGAGCTGAATGCTCTAGGTTACGTCACACTGCCTTAGCCCACTTCTTTATATAGTCTATGATGCCAACATAGGCACATGTGCGGTGGTTGAAGAGGGGTGGGTGCCTGATGTCCTATGATCTCACAAGTTAAACAGGGTTGGGTGTGGTTACAACTTGGGGTGACAGACAGATGGGAGTAGGTGCCACGGTGGAGCAGCAGTGGTTCTAGTACATATCAAATATCTGGAACGTCATGACAAATATCTGAGTCTGACTGAATGAAGCGTCACAACAGAGGAACAAGCTGTTGATGAGAGAAAAGCATGTTTCCTGTCCACAAGCACACAAAGCGCTACACTCTGCACATTTATCAAAAACAAAATGGTGCGTATTTGAGCTAAAATAGTCTGAAGTACACCCATCCACGTCGGCATGTTTGTTTTGATTTGTTTGGGCGCCTCACTTTTGGCTCCAGACCTCTCATTGGATTTAAACACCAGATTACATATTTTTTGACTTGGAACTGGCAAAAAGGGAACCATATCATGCAATGGAGAAGTGTTACAAATTGAACAGCAAATCTCACTGGACATAATAATGATGAACTTATTTAATTGTTGAATAAGAAATGCATTCCTGGGAGCAAAAGCCTATGTCATTAATCACTCGCTTTGGAGCCATTGCAGACTTCAAACTGATCCAGATTTAAAAGATGTTCCCAGGATGAGTATTCCAGTCTCTACAGCTGGAACAATATAAAACAATAAACAAATCCACAAGTATTTGCACAAACTGTCTCTAAAATGTACTAATAAGTCCTTGTCACTTCTTTGAGATTATACCAAAATGTTGATCTTATTGGCAGAAAATGTAATATGTAATCAACATTTGAACCAAATCGCTGATTGGATCACTGAAAAGTAGATAAGCATTCATCACAGGGGTAATATCCGTGTCCCAGCAGTTGGTCCTGGTGTTTAATGGATTTTAATGGAGTGTACAGTACTGGAGCAGTTTTATTTATTATTTGAACAGTGCTGTGGTGTTACCCAGAGGTCTCATTGTGGGAAGAGATACAGCGGGAGAGTTTTTTCAATGGTCAAAAGTCAAAATGAAGGCTTTAACAGGAAGCTGAAACACAAAATTCTGAGCCATTCACCATTCAAAAACAGAATATTGTATATAGCAAAACCATGAAGCAGTATTGTGCCTAAATATTGCATATACTCAAAGTTCCAAATCAAGTTCACTGTTGGTTTTGTGTTTCACAGCTTAAATCCTGCCGTCAGTTCAGTTGATGGGCGCTGAGAGAATTAGTTGAGTGTAAAGACATATGTAAGCAGCTGGAGTGGTCACAAAAAAAATATATTAAAAGATGCCAAACAAAATATCTTATACTTGACATCTGTGTTATGATATGGACAGGTACAGCTTAGTGAGAAGTCTCCAGTGAGTAAGAGTAATGTGAGCCATATATTTTCTCAAACTGTTGATGCATTAGCTATAATGGATATAATGGATAACAAAGTGTCCACAATGAGGTGTTTACAATACGAAGATCTTGGTTATACACAGTTAGTGTAGTAGCTCACTGCTCCTGACCAGGAATTGCGCCAAATGTTGTGAACTAATTGTTTTGCATTCATTGTAAAAGAGATTCCTCCACAGTTTGCCATAATACAAATATGGTCAGATCCAACTGCGATGCATCAAAGAGTCACTTAGGCTGGACACTATTTTAGGCTCTGAATAAGTTTAAAATCCAGACTAAGACATTCTCACCACATAAAGGGGAAAGCCACCAGCTCAGTACAGAGACCACCTATGCTTTGTTTAAGATTAAAGACTATTTACTTCAAGTGCGGAAATTGTAGAACCAGTCTTTGATGTTTCAAAGGTTAGTTAGTTTGCTTTTTTGTAATTAAATGTTTTTCACATTTTCCAACATTGATTATAGAGTTAACCTTAATTGTATCTAAACAAATGGCTTTTACAAACACTTGCATAGCCACCCAGGGAATGAACAAACATGCAGACACTGGATATTATCTTGTGATCAGTGACTTTTCTATAGGCACAGCTTCCCTATAGGCTTACTGATGGAAATGTGGCTGCCAGTGGCCTCTGGCATCTGACCACCTTTCACTTAATCACACCGTACAATGACACGACAACAGCATCAATGTATCAGTGTGAGATAGAGTTGAACAGTGTTTGAGTTCATGGGAACCACTAAACCACTACTGTGCAAATGTTCTTGTTGCAGTCTGTAATATCACATACACAAAGCACACATATACACAAAAAGGGCTTTGAAAATTAAATGTGGAGATGAAGACGCTGTGCAATTACTCAGTAAAGACACACATTGGAGGAAGAATGTGACTATTTTTGGGGGGTACATGATACTAGTTAGAAGTCTGTATGGTTCAGATAATTGATAATGAAAGCCACAACAAAATAAAATTAGTCTCTGGTTTGGTCAAAATAGTAGCTTGTTCCTTTACTTTCCAAAATCTTTTGGAGCGTTTGGCCATGTTGTTTCTCCTTGTCATTTACCCTCTCTAAGTTGTATTTAGAGTAATTTGACCATGTTTGAGCCATCTTTATTTGCTTATTTTCAAGATGCCATATACTCCCACCACTCTGTACTTACTCTGTTGTCCAGTTTTATTTTCTTTATCGGTGATATGTGTTGGATTCAGCAGTGTTGCAGTGTCATTTGGGTACAAATGTGCAAATGTGCTCGTGTGATTTACAGCTAACCATTACAGGTACTGACTATTTGTTTTGATGACATCCCATTGACCACTGCAGTTTTCTAACACAGAAGTCAGTGAATGTGTTTCTTTTATTAAGCTGTTTTAGATGAATATTGCAATTTAAAAATGTAAATAATCCCTAGATTAAAACTGTATAGCAGTTTGAAGTACACTATATCTTCTTAAAATATACTGGATAAACCAATATAATTTTGTGGAGGAATAGTTGACAAACCAACAGTGAGCATTTGTGTTGCTGCACATCCCTTTAATACTATGGCTAACATGCATGAGTTCAGTCTCCACATGCCATAATGTGTAAATGTGTGTGGTCCTTCCCATCAGAGAAAACAAATTTATGGTCACTGGGAGCAGGAAAGATGCCCCAGAAATGAGAGGAATCTGGACAGAGACAGAGGAGTCCTGTAGGGCTGGAGTTAAGATGGATGTGCTGTGGATTTATGTAGTTTAACATAACCTGAGAGAAACTTAAAGAGCTACTGAGTTATGTCACATTCATAAGGATGAGCTATCACAGAATGCATTTTTTTTTTTTTTTACAATTTTACAATGTATTTTAAAAAGAACGGGTATGACTGTTAAAACAAAACATTTAAACCACCATTGTTTATTGTTTTAAAAATGCTATATTTGCCAATATCAATGTCAAATCAAAATCAATATTAACATGTTTTATACGTTTCACTTTTGTTTTTGAGCTCCAGTCCCTTTGCTCTACACACTAAGTCACTCCCCCTTCATAGCGCTATCACAACACAATCGGCACGCATCTCCCGAATGAAAGCACTGCACATTGCATCAGGTACTGTGGAGAATTACAAGTAAAGCAGTAACATCACTGTGGAGACCTTCATAGTTACCCTTTGAGTCATAATTTATACTATCCTAAGTAAATTAGTATAATCATCAACAACATCCGACTGACTGGGTTTGGTAAGTTCATCATTTGATCCTAACAAAAACAACAGACAGTTTAAATTATATTTTCACTGTGTTTCTGTTTACATGTCCGATTTGAAGAAATCAAGTCATATTTACTGCAGCTGTCCTGGCACAGTTCATCCATGTCTGTCTGTGAGCAAGATTATGAAGAATTCATTCATGATATCATTTAGGAAGCCAACAATAGATCAGTTTTAGTTTACAGTTTAGAGTTTTAAATTTTCTTGAGAAAGTTGAGTGTCTTTCATATGGTAATTCTCTTTAAAGCTTCTCTAAAATGCAGATGCTTTATCACTGGGATTATCGGGATGGTATTTCTGTAGTTATTTATTAACATGTTTTGGATAAGTTGAGGAATTCTTATCTTCTGAACAATGGCACAGTACAATATGACATTTATCACAGCAAAGCACACAATGTAATATATGTTAATTTGATCAGTTCTCTCTTTTCCTCCTTTACCTCCATCAATGATTCAAATATAACTGAAACTGAAATAAAATAATTTCAAAAACTTCACACAGGTTAAAAAGGACAAGTTAGCTCTGTGCTCAAGGTGAGTTTGTTCATGTGCACAAGAGTACCTTGAGTGGGCGGGGTTAAATTTTGTGATGGCGCCAATCATCTAACAGTAAACTCCGCCCACTCAGTGTAAAGGCGTGAACTTAATGAAATGATATCACAATACACCGTTTCCCAAAATGTGTGCTTGTCAGTGTAACTTTTTTCAAATTAAAAAGAAAAGTTTAATGAGTTATAGTTATGTTTACAATTTTAGATGCATATATTTTGGGAAACAAAGCAGAACGCCATGATGCTAGAAGCAGGAAGTCACTCAGCCAATCAAATTTATCTTTACCTCTGTCGCTCCTCCTCATTGGCTATTGGTTTGAAGAGCTGTCTACACCAAACACAAGGCACATACATAACAGTACATGTGAGTAAACATACCTTGACTAACAAATAAAAAGCCAATCAAATTAACGTCAATGGGATAAGGCATCTCTATTTTGTATCAGGAATTCATTACAATTTGTGCATTTCTTCACCAATATGAAATGGAAGCTGTTTGGAAAAGTTAAGACACCATTACAGTGACTCAGTAGCTTTGTCAAGAGCACAACTTGTTACTGTTGGAAAATATAGCAAATTTAAGATAACATTAACATTTCCAACTTCAAGACAACTGGTCTGTGTCATAACTGAAAACAAAGATAAAGATACAATAACAGGAATAAACTAAGGAAAGGAATTAGGCCATGGTGGACCTATTTTTAGTCCCCATGATGTGAATGCCTACACAAATTTTAATCTCCACAATGTCATAAATAGCTGCCCACAGTATGCCCATAAGTCCAGTGCCCGTGTGTGGCCCTACCTGTGTTGCTATGGCGTTTGCTGAAGGGGTTGAGTGTAGCTTTAGCCTTGGATGTCCAGTTTGCCGTGCTGGAGCCAAAGGAGCTGGAGGACAGGGACTTGCCCAAATTTTCAGAACTCACTTTCTTTGTGTTATTTGTGGCTGTCTTACTCCAGTCTGTGTAAAAACAAAACAAGTAAGATGTGAGAAAAAACAGGACTGCAAAAAATACATATTCCTAGGTAGAGGGAGAGAGCCTTCCCTACTGATAACACTGCATTTTCATAAGAAAGATCCAAATGGTAAATTGCTAAATGTTGAAGGGGCGACTCTCCACAGACCTGAACTGTACTGCTGTAACCTGCTTGTCTCCCCTGTGATAGATAGGTTTAATCAACAGCAATAACATTTCCATGCAGATAACCATGTGGTGGACTCTCCACTAGAAATGTTACACAGTTCACCTTTAATAATCAGTTATGACTTTTTACTTTTTTTTTTTTCAAACAAAAATGCCACAGATATTAGCTGTTTGTAATTTTGATTGTCAAAGGGAAAAACCCTCCATATACACTCTAGCCTTCCTCCTTGTTTGTATCCTATAGCTCTCTTGACCTTGAACTGGTGACAGAATATTTTCATGGGTAATTAGCGTCTGTCGTTCCTAATGGGTCCCAAATGTGTACAAGTTGAAGTTTTCGGAGTGAGACCCATGATGTAACAGTATCTCAGTGTTTAGAAGATTAAATGCATTATGTAAATACATGATTTACATTCAATAAACATAATTATGTCACTTCAGACTGCAGACTGAGAATGGTGGGTTGAGAAAACATTGAAATAGCTCTAATGTATGCTCTTGTTTATTTATGTGTCATACACGTGACTTACAAAGAGTTAAAGTGCTTTATTTTAACCAAGGCCACAATAAAAATACACACTCAGAAGGACATGACCCAAGTGCACAGCAACACGGCAGTGAAACCATCACAATCAAGATCAAAACAAACTAAACCCAGGACAAATCCAGGCTTATAGTACTAAACTACAGCTAGACTATAAAAAAAAAAAAAAAACAGAATTAAGGGTCAAGATTGGACATGTCAAATATTGAATAAATCCAGAGATAACTTTAAAGTCTACTGTTGTGTTTGGAAGTAAATTTCCCATAACTTTTCTCATAGACTCCCATGTAATTTAAATACAGTTAGTTTAATACTCTGTTGGAGGCTAACCAGTCTACGTCACTCACAGCGTTTAAAGCCATACAGCTATGTGACGTCACACCTAAGCCCCATACTATAGTCTCCCATGTCTGTCCCTGTGACCTGTGCTGCTCTGAGCTGCTGTGAGTTCACAGGTCTGGACTGAGGTCTGGGCGGGACCACCTGGAACCTTCCTGCTCCTTTGTAGACACAAACTCTCCATAATCTTTTTATTAGGATCAGATCCACTGGACTTACACAGTTTGCATGATTTAATAAAGATTTCAGTGGGAACATGGACCGCTGCCAAGGCTCAGGTCGGAGGCAGGTTTTGATCTGGTTTCTCAGGCTCCCAGAATGTTGTGTTTGGTTGTTTTGTTTTGAACTAGACATGACTCCGACTGTTTTAGTACCACCTCATAAAATATGTATGAAAACCATCATAAAAAAGTCTAAAGTCAAATACTGTGCCAAATATTGGCAAAGCTGATCAGTACACTAAAGCATCATTGGCAATACATCTAGAATCCCCGTAGTTGACAATGAGCTGGAAGGCAGGTTCGTTTTCTGTGGAGGAATTTGCCTTTAGTAAGTCAGAATACAGATTTGTTGACCTTGTTTATGGGTAATATCAATCAATATCTGTAATTACTGGCCATGAAAAAAAAAAAAAAACATAGTTAAAAGTTTTCTTGGTCATCATAAATAAAATTGCTTTAAAATGTGGGATTATCATTCAGTCTTTTCCTTGTTATCTATTGAAGGCATTTTAATCTATAACATGGCGAGTTTAAGGAGCCAAATTCCCCCCAAAGTATGGTAAGGTTCAACATTTGTGGATTTTCTATTTTACTATTTCTTTCAACTTGAAAAACTTAAAGAGCCCTTCATCTGAAATTATGACCCAACTTGAATCAAGCATAAACAAAACCAAAACAGGACTAACCAGGTCCAAACAGAGAATAAACCAGCTAAGTTTATGATCTACTCCTGTAATAGTTCAATACTAAATACCTTCAAAAGCATACCGTTTGGTTTTGTTTTGTAAGTTGCTGTGTAGTAGTTGTTATAGGAGACTGACCTGAGTTGTCAGACAAACGGAAACGTCCACAGCAGAGGTATCTTCTCCATTGCTTCTGCACATTTTCCTTCAGCGCACAGTGGAAGATAAAAATAAAGAGGCCTGAAAATTAAACACCAAATAACACAGAATTTAGAGATCATAACTGTTTTCAGGCAGTAAAATAGCAAATACTTTTGACATTTGACCAAGATATTTCAGCTCTTCTTCAGCTTTAGATTTAAGAATTAAGTTGATTTTAGATTTTTAGAAAGTTTTAGCACATCCACCTCTTTTTGAAACGTAATCAGGTTCCATAACTCCCTATTATTGCATAACTCCCTATTTGTAGATGTGTTTTTTAAAGAAATTTATGGTTGCAGATAATTCACAAAGGCCACCATAGGAGAAAAAAAGCAAAGGAGGAACCAAAAGCAATCACAACGTAATCCATAAATTATCATTACCTTGCAATGAATTGAAGATAGAGAATAGATACATAAAAGCTAAGTTGACTGGGCCCCAGGCAAAAAACGCAAATCCCCAAGTCATCCCCAACAGGAAGGTGAGACTGATGACGCTGCGCAGGTTCCTCAACACCTACAGGAAACAAAAATCAAAGTACATTTTTTTCAAATGATTATTTATTTGATGGCCTAGTACTGTATATGTGGTAAGTGGCAGCGTGGAAGAAGACATATTGTGCTTGTGTCTAATATATAGTTATAATCTATGACACCCATGGATCATTGTTATAATTTTGACATTTTAAATAGTAACATTCTTCTAAAACGACTTAATGAATGAAATAAATCAGCTAAATTCCATGTTAGAAAACTGTGGGGCCCAATGCAAGCTGACAATGCCATAAACATCATAACAAAGAGTCATGCAGTTGTCAGCATCTCTGATGAATAGCTGCAGTGAATATTTTTTTAAATAAATATAATTATATAATTACATATAATTATGGTAACTATATTTTGGAGAAAGGAGTACTCTGACCTTACCTGACAGTGCCATCCCTCCAGTTCATTGTATATTACATATGGGTTAGGATGGCAAGCTCTAACCTGCCATATGCACTTGAATATTAAATTGTAAAATGTCTACATTTTTAGTATTTAGTTTAGTATGTATTTAATGATATTTGTACCTCTTCTCGTAGCGTCCGGTTGCTTCTTTTACCATTGCGCCCACAGATCTGCAGCATAACCACGATAAACATGGCTACATTTAGGAGGAATATAAGGCAAAAATATCCCACACAGGTGATGTAGAACACCACTGGGTCCTTGATCCAGCAACTGCACAAAAGACTCATCAAAATTACACTTAAATAAAAGAATTTGTTGGATTTTCAATAGAAAAGAACAGAAAACGCACAACTCAGATGATCCGTGTCCACTGGCCCCTTTGCCATACTCCTGAACCCCATAGGAGGTATTGTCTATTGCAGCCACTGTTCCCACTATCACAGCTGGAAGACCTGAAAATACAAGTAAATTACATATACAACAATTAGTAGTAGTAGTAGTAGTTTTTGAAATACTGTTTAAGAGGATAAAAGGAAGATGCCAACTTGAATTAAAGGTGCTCTTTGTAACTTTTCTAGTGGAATCTTTGTCACCAATAGCGTCTCTCCATGGAGATGCTATTGCTTAGCCTAGAAAATTCAACAGTATTTTACTTTACTTCCTTTCATTCAGTTGCAAGTGTTTTATTGCTAAAAATACCTTGAAAAACATTTTACTGTGAGTGGGTTTGCCTCTCCATAGATCTAACTTATAGTTTAACATTACACTTCAGAAAATTTCAGACAAAACAATATACTAGTAGACAGAGACAAGCAGTTACTGAGTTCTCCTCAAAAGAGAAAAGTTACACAGAGCAGCCTTAATCAAGCAATATTTTGATTATCTGCGTTTTAAATCCCAGAACAGTATCACTATTTAGCATTATACTGTTCTAATACTATAAAATCAGTACCTTTTTTTTTTGCCTAATCTTATTTTATATTATTGGCACACTGACCCCATCCCACGAGGCAAAACTTGAGGATGTATCTGCGGATGTAGGTGTTGAAGACTTTGACCAGAGCGATGTACATGTGGATGGACTCCAGGCCCATCCAGGTGAACGACGTCAACAGGAAGTAGTGAAGAAACACGGCCACTGAGACACACAGCCAATCAGAGCTCAGACTGGCCAGCCAGCCGTCCAATAGGAACGTCAGATTGAGGCAGAGGAGGGATGTGCTAAGGTTCATGAGGATTTTGGAGGGATAGTCACGACGAAGCTTTCTGAATAAGACAAGAGGACAGAAGAGGGTTCAGTTTGGAGAAGTCTGCTTTTTTTTTTTTAAAGAAATATAACTTATTTATATTATTCTAATCAGTAGTTATAAAAGTTTTATTTAGACCTACAGTTCTATTAGTCTATTAGTCATCCACACAAACCCACAACTTTGATATCCCGATCAGCAGTAGTAATAGTAGTAGTTAGTAGCGGTAATAGTAGTCATTGTAGTACTAGCTGTATTACATTTTGATAATAATGCAGTATTAAAAGTAATAAAACTTTTATTCACTTTTTAATTCATACAAATCCAAACCTTAGATATGCTTAGTAATCATACTGGTAATAATACATGTAGAAGTAATAGTATTAACATTAGTAATACAAGCATTAGTTGCAGTAATAGTAGTTATTATTGATGATTTTGAACATGATTTTTAAGTTTAAATTATAATAGCAGTAGAAGTAGTAGTAAAAGATGATGCAGTAGAACAAGTGGCAAAAGTAGAATAGAAAAAAAAAGCTGCATTGTGAAAGCATCTGTCAACATCTACTGTTTGGGAAAAAACATTCAGGAAATAAAGGAGTAAACCATGGTTAAAGTTGATCTAAAAATTATAATAAAGTTAAATGGACACATATCTTAAAATAGCATTTTTAGATACCTTTGTAACTTTCAGGTGGTCCTTATGAAAACCTACCGGACAAGTACTCAATATACTGTGCTTCTCATTAACAGTTCACTTCTAAGCTCTGCCCAGATGGTTTAAATAAATATTTCAATAATTACACAGATTTACGTAATTGCTCATCTAGCGCCATTAAATACTATGGTCAATGTAACATACTCAAATGCAATGTACGTCAGGAGGGTCACAGCTGAGAAAACAGCAGAAATTCCACATCCGATGTAGGTGATGAAGGTGAGGATCTTGGTGTTCCGTTCATTGATGTACGCGGATGATCCATAAATGTCCTAGAGAAAAACAAAAGGGAAATAACTCATATATAATGAGCCCTATAAACATGGCTCATTCTTCAAAGTTTACACTCACAAATGTGTAAAAGAACAACTCTAACTGGTCCAGAGTGAGGTCATGTTAACACAAGCCAAGATGTTTAAACTGACCACATGGCCACTTAAAACTAATGATGCCAATTAATTAAGAAGTTTCACAAATATTGCACGAAACATGATCTCAGTAAGATCTTGGAGACAGCCCGAAATGGATTACTGAAAAAATGCATTGTGTACAGAGCACAACAGTGAGTTTTAATTTCATTTCCATGTATTTACTTACTTTACTTTTAAATCTAATACTAAAAGCACACTAAGTAACTTTTTGGTTGAGGGTCCATTACCTGCTTGTTTTAACTGATATGTCATTGCTCTGCCTGGAATGTTCCACAGTATGACATTCAACAGCTCTACCTTATGACTGTAGGGCTGCCTCTCCACAGATCTGACCTGTAACTTTGTCTGGTTTGGTCTCCATGAAGATAGAAAGGTTTAATGCCATAGTGTGAAACATTCCAGACAAAGCACTGATATCTCCAGTTACAAAATGCACTTTTTAAGAGTGCAAAGGCACGACAGAGACTAAACCAGTGATGTGGTAACTGTTGACAATAATTATATTCAATTCAATTAATATTTTTACTTGTTATATTTTTTCAAGGGGTTATGAGTAGAATTGGGATTGTTGCTATAACAAATTTCAGATCAAAATGTTTTTTTTCAGTGGAAGAAGAGATGACTGGTGAATGTACAGCGTGTCAAGGGAAGTATGCACTGATGGAAGTTGATCAGACTCTAATGGCTAAGTTTGAGTCAAGTATTTCAATTGTCATCTTCAGTTATGTGTTGTACAAAATCACACTTAAATGTATAAACGTACACAAATATTTGTATTTTACCATGAGGATGCCAAAGTGAGTGAGGTGGTTGCACAGACAGACAGTTTTGTTGCGTGTGGATTCTGCTGAGACGTGACAGCCCTCTCTGTTCCATCCTCCATCGCCATCTGGTGGACACACACAGGAACAAATGTAACAAAATTCAACCACACCTGGGATAAAACCTTACTATATCATGTAGAATTATCCAGAATTAGGAAAAGAACAAAAAAAAAGTCATATATGGGCTATTATCACTACCTGGAATTCACTGCAATCAAATCTGAACAGATGTGTACCATTGCAAAATTTAAGTAGAAAATAATATTTGCAACAGACTATTTGTACTTTGTAAATACAGTCATTTTATTCATTCATTCTTTTTGTATTTGTGGAGGTTAATACTTAAACACTGCAAAAAATATAAGCTTTTTGCAATTTTCACTTCATTACAACTGCAAAAAATCAAAAAAATATATATATATACATATATATATTGATAATTGCCCTGATAAAGGAGCACTGCAAATGTTAGACAATCTAATGTTCCCATAAAGGGGTATAGTTTCTTCCAGTGCCTCAGGAGGTCATCGTAATGAGCTGAGATCTGGACTCACCTCTCATAGTGAAGTCCCAGAACATACAGACCGGTGGCTTCAGAGAGTCAAATGCCTGAAAGCACAAAGAGTAATGGATGATATCATTATTATTGATGTAGCTTTGATACAGAAGCAGATCACAAGATGAAAATTACATCTATAAGGCATAAAGCCTAAAACACTCCTGACACAATATTAGGTTTATTGTCAGTATTAATTCATATCAGTATATTTATTAAAATGATTGGAAACAATAATTTAAATTGCTTTGATGTTTTACACTTTTTTGAATGGCATACATTATTGTGGCATATGTCTTATATTCAGTGTTAAATAGCAGTTTAAAATCAAGTAAATCAAACCAACCATAACCAATTGGACTGCTATTAACTTAACTAAATATATGCACTTTTTAAAGTGCACAGTTACACAAACATGGCTATGGTGTCAGATGGACATGACTCACTACTGCTAAATACCAGTGAGCATTCATAATACATACAAATAATAATTCTCACCTGCTCAGTGAGATGTGCGATCTCGATCCTAATTGGGTCACGCAAGTTACTGATGGTGAAGTTCCCAACACTGCTGGCCACCACGTAACTGTTCAGAGACAAGCCGTCCTGCTCTTTCTGAATTAGAAAAAAAACAAAACAAAAAACAGACAAGATTATAACCATCAACAGTCACATATTTTGGTTTATTCAAGGGGATCTGGTCTGACCTGAAAAAGGTTTGTGCTGGAGAAGAACATGAAGTTGATCCTGGACAGAGATGCTCGTTCGGTTTCAGTCAGAGAGATGTTGGCGAGGAGAGAGGCCGGGAGGGTCACCTGAGCTAATGGGTTAGCACGCTTAGATGCAAAGTCAATCTGAGGAAAGAGAGACAAGTATTATTTGTGATATTTACAATTTAGTTGGGTTAGAAGTATGATCAACAATCTGTATTAAATACAGTCTATAATACTTAGGTTTGGCCATTTAAAAAGAACAGTCTGTTATCTAAAAATTTGTTCAGTTCTAGTCTAGTCAAGGTTTAGTTGCACTATGTGGACCCGTACTTGATAAAAAAAAAAAGCAGGTTTGATGGGTTTTAAAGACAGTCATCAGAACAATGTTTTTATTTTATTGTATTTATTGAGCTAAGTAAGAACATTGATTACCAGATGACTTCCTTTAACCAGTCCAGGGTGAATATGGGATTACATCAAGATGTTTTGTGGATTATTCAACACTATTTTGCCAATTTATTTTTGCTAACATTGCCAAGCACATTCAGAAGTGTCTTGTGAGTGAGTACCTGGGGCTGTGAGGAGTTGGGGCCGATGAAGGCGCTGAAATTGGTCCCTTTAAACATGGCGGTGTTCAGAGAAGAGACGCCCACAGCCAGATGTTTGGATGTGATGCTCACTGTGTCTCCCTCAAACTCAATCTTCTGTGCCAGTTTATCCACTGCCTTCAGAGCCCTGGGAGAGGGGAAAAAATAACAGCACCATTATGGTATATTGCAATTGAAATTATGGTTGTATATCCTGCAATCCTCATTCACAAAGTTTTTTCACTGTTTGTATATGATTTCTTTTGTGAAACTACACTTAAAAGAGCACTGCGTGATTCTTGATTCATAAAATGGCATTAAACTTATGTATGTACAAGAAGACTAGTCTTGTCACGATAATAACATTTCAAACTTAATTTTGATACTAACAAAAAGACTCAGTACTCAATACAAATTCTGACACCAAAATTATAATTTAACACTCTTTTCTTAACAGAATGTAATTTCAACATTAAATATTAGTACTTTCTTCTTCTTACTTCTTTTAAACTACAGAACTGTTCATCATCATCTACTGATTAGATACCTCTCAATTTTTGTCTTATTAAAATAAGTCTTACATATATGCGTTATGTGTTCAAGTATGCATAGTGATAGTAAACATAATTTTTATACTTCTCTGATGTAGCTGGCAGTGTGGTCTCAGGCCTCTTCATCACATTGGAGATAATAGTGACCACAGTATGAGCCAAAGTGGTGTTGATTTTGGCCACGTTCACCAGCTCTTTCACTTTGATCACCACTTGAGACACCTATAACACAATTATACAAGTTACTTCTGTATAAACGAACTTCAATAAATTGACTTATTGAGAAGTTTAACAACTGTAACAGACATATTTATAATAGATTATTTCTCACCTCTTCCTGGGACAGCTCATTGTTGGTGATGACAACAAGCTGGCCTGCCACTTCTGCTGCATTTTCTGTACAAAAAGTGTAACTGCTTAATCATGTAATACTGAATACTTATTGACCCTTTAGGCATACTGCAGGCAAATGTTTCTGAATCAGATCAGAATGAGAGCATATGAATGGCTGACAGTTATTACCTGCGGACACTTGGATGTCATTGATAACAGTGCAGTTACTTGTGTCTGGAGTCGACCAGTGAGATGTGAAGTTCTGTGGACTGATCAGACTAGACCAGAAATACACAATAAAACAGTTTCATTAAAATTTTTAAGAGTTGAAAGAGATTATATACTTTTTGGTTTATTTCATTTTGTTGATACATTCCTTTATATTAATATATTAATGATAATTTTATATGCATAGTTTTTGGTTTAAATATTTTTAAATTTCATCTTGACTCGAGTTGCAAGTAGAGATAAGGTTGAAAAAAATTAATGAGGTCCAATGTTCCTATTCACCATTGTAGAGTCTAGTATAAATCAAAACGCCAAAGCTGACTTATTTATAACAAACATCAGGCAATATTTATTAGGTAGTAAGTATTTCTTTTGTACCATGTCCGGGAGGTGCTGCTGTCCTTGTTGGGGAAACAGGGCAGAGTGTGGCTCACTGTGGGGCGAGACTCTGGCCATCGATAATGCACAGACACCTCCTCTGGGCAGTTGTCTAAACATACAAACACATACAATAAGATATAGGAGTAATGGACAATGTAAACGGAAACACTACACAAATGTGCAGTTTAAAGGTGCATTGTGTAACTTTTCTGCTGGAGGGTACGTCAAATGCTTTTGTCCACGGAGATGTTTTTGCTTTGTTTCACTATATGGTTAATTTTTCTATCTACATGGAGACCAAGGCAGATCAGATTGCAGGTCAGATCTATAGAGAGGCAACCCCACCCACAGTCAGAGTCACAGTTTTCTAGTTAACTATAAAACCTGAAATTTAACCTGCAATTTAATAAATATAAGGCAGAGCTGTATAATGTCGTATCGTGGAACATTCCAGGCAGAGCAATGACATACCCACAGAAACAAGCAGGTGACGGACCCCCAGTCAATAAGTTACATAATGGACCTTTAAGCTGATGTAGGTGTGATACACTGTTTTGTAACGGCACATGTAATTAAAAGAGATTCCGCATTACATGGTAAAACAAGTTTGCTCTTGAAGGTGAAGTCCACACAGAAGAATTAAAGAATGAAAAGTTTACATTGGTATTGTGTAAGTCTAGATTTAAACGTGCACTATGTAGCTTTTTGGTTGGAGGTACAGCACCTGCTTGCTTATCCACAGTATAACCTTAAACAGCTCTACATTACATTTATTCAATTACAGATGCTTTTATAGCACAAAAACACCTAGAAACTGCAACTGTAACTTGGTCTGGTTTGGTTCTTGGTTTGAAGATATAAAGGTTTGATACCATATTGTGAAACATTCCAGACAAAGCAATAACATCTTCAAAGACAATATCATTTGAGGGATCCTCCACCAGAAATTACTGTTACTGCTATTTTAAGAAGGCTATACAATGTAAGGCACTATATACATGAGAAACACATGAGAAACATTTGCTTACATATGAGTGAAACACTGCTGGAGTCAGTCTGAATGCGGAGCCCGGTCCCCAGCTGAGCCTCGTAGTTGGACAGACGAGTTTTAGCTGCTTCTTCCAGACTCTCGTTTGTGGTGAAATAGTGAATCAGCAACGCCTGGCACTGGTAACTACAACACAGGGCACAGTATATTCATCTGATTTTAAAAGTAACATTAAACATTCAATGATATCTGCTTTACCTCATGACACCATTGTTTTGTGACCCAGACTGCACACTGTGAGAGAAAAAAAAAAAAAAATATATATACACCATATAAGAATATATGAGCTTGTATAATTGCCACAGGGTCTTAAATTACCTGATGAAGTCCACATAAACAGACTGGGTCCAATTTTGAAATGTTTGATTTAACTGCAAAATAATAATATTAATAATTAAAAAAAACAAACAAACATATTGATACATGAGCATATAGCCGTTGTGACCTAAAATGATAAATCTTTAATCAGCGGTGGGGCATTTGAATAGCTGATGGCTCGATTCCCTCCTATTTACACTGTTGTTTTGTCTTATAGCATATATTTTTCAAATATGTTCATTAACCCTGTCCCAACCAAATAATTAAGTAAGCAATAACAGATTTTAAAGGGTGTATATTAAGCAAAATTGACTCTTTAAGTCATGTTATAATGCTGGTCATCAGAAACATACCTGGATTTGTGGTTTTTTTGAGTAACCCTTTGTTATCACTTTCTTATCAATCTGTCTACATCTCCAAAGCTCAAAATGCTCTGTTCCACCTTGTGATGTCATGAAGCAGCAGTTTTCAAGTTAACAGCTACCTTATACTTTTTGTTTAGTAGAGACTGGCAATTCCAGGGCTGAAATGATCCAATGATTCTAATAAAAGTGAATGGAGTTGAAAATCACAGAGGAGCACTTGCATTATCACATTATATCGCATTGTGTGTTAAACATGTGAGTGAAAAAAAAAACACATTTCAGGTTTATTTTGGTGAGGAAAAAATTACCATTTAAATTAAACCACTTACCCAGATGACCACAGCCTCTTCGACATCAGCTTGGGACATGGTCAGAGTGCTGTCCTCCACCACAAAGGCCACTCGGTAAAACAAACTATCTGTAAATTAAAATGTTTTTACAGTGAATAGTTGAATGTGATGTAACTGAACATTTTAGAGAGTGTGCCACATAGCTGGAGCTGGACTAAGAGAGCTCTGAGTAACTTATGAATAAACACATTTCTTAGTTAGAGGACGTCCCATTGTCAGCATAATCAGATTAAAGAACTATTTCCTGTTGGCTTAAAGCAGGCAGGGGAAATGTAAATGTATCTGTTATCAGTTTGTTGTTTTTATGTAAATAATAGTAAAAAATTTAAAAATCTTTCTTCTTTTTTGCTCCTGCTATGTGACACTGTGCCCACTAGATGTCACTACAGGTGCACTACAGTTCATTCATGGACCCGTCCAATTTGATAGAAGATATTACTACAGAATGGAAAATCATTGGAGAAACACAGATATTTCTACCCAAAAGTCAGATGGACAAAGATATAAAGCTGAATATAACAAAAAGAGAATAGTTGCAGCAATGTGAACAAGGCAGAAAACAGGGCATGAGCTAGAACAGTTGACTACAATGTCATGAGAAAAAAAGTACAATGACAGTGACTATTAATTCTGATTAGTTTGAAATACTACAAGATTTAACTATGAATTATAATGACACCAGCATCTGCATATCATTAACTAATAACAATCATAAACTGGAGCTGTCTTAATACCCATACACCTAGAAAATCATTGTGTATTCAGTCTTAAAGTCTTAATACCAGTCTTAATTTTTTTGATAAAGCCAATAAAAAACAACATATTGTATATTGTAAAGTTCACTATGTAACTTTTATAGGGTCTGCTCATATGCTCGTCTCTATGGAGATGCTATTGCTTTGCCTTGAATATTACACAGTACAGTGTATCTTTGAGGAGACAGGTAGTTCCCATCAGGCCAAGTTCCTTACTAGATCTGTGGAAAGGCGAGACTGCTTACACCAAGACTGCATGTTTTATATGGAACATTCCACACAAAAACAAACAATAAAATATCTACAGAGACAAGCAAGTGATGTTTCCCCTGACAGAAATGTTAAATAGACCACCTTTAAATAAACACATTATACTGAAGACTTCAAGACTGAACATCCCGCATGATACTACATTGATTTGTACTACAAGTTGAGTTTCTATTTCTACTGGAGTTACTTCATCACATACTGTTTCCTGGTGTCAGTCCACACACACAGGTAAAATGACGGCTACATTGGCAAGGCATTTTCGACTTCCTTGTAACTCTAGAAGGTTTCAAAGTGGCCATTTTGTTTCCACCATTGCTAATAATTTTCTGTGTTGACGGTGGGCGTTTTGTGGTAGTAACAACAGCTTTCTCTTCACTGCTGCGTGTATCTTCTGAACTTGCTGCTTTATCAAATCTTGCAACTGCCTTAGAAATATCCCCAACATTTGCAGGGAGATCTATGTCTATTTTGCCTTCCATTAACATCCCAATGATTTCAGATACATTTTTCACTTTAGTTGCATTCTGTGTCAATATGGCAGTGGTCCCATTTGGTTTATCGGTATGGCTGGGTGGGCGGTCTTGGATCCCAGGCTTCAGCTCTTGATCTGGGTCATTGATATTTGAACCAGCATGGGGTGTGGAGGTTGCACTAAAAGGGGGCACATTTAGGCCATAAACTAGCGGGAGGTCAGGGTGAATAGAACTTGATTTTGCAAAAGTAGGTTTGGGTGAAAAAGTAGTAGTCTTTTCAGTATTCAAAACGTGGCCCATTTGCAGTTTGTCTGTCACACTTTCATCCTCTGAGCTTTCCAGCATGTGAATTTTAGGTGCAATGTCTGCAATGTCAAAAATAGCAGAGATTTGCTTCTTCATTGTGATACTAATGGACGATGTAGTTGGAATAAGTCTTGGCGTACTCACTCCTTCAAAGTTATTCACTAAAACATCTCTATTCTCACCTGAATCCATGCGACTTGAAGTGAATTCAGCTTTTTCCACTTTACCGCCATGGACACTAAAAGCTTGCTCGTCAAAATTTAAATGGCTACTTGACAAATTTTGCTCCCTCAAATGTCTAGTATCATTGTGGTTTGGCAAAGTAGGATAAGGCTGGATTACTGCTAATGTGGGTTGGTGTAGGAATTCAGAAGATTTTGCAGTGGGTGACATAAACAAGTCAGACATACTTGAACTAGATTGCATCGTAAGCACTGTATGAGTATAGGAAATCGCTATTGGTGCTTTGGGGGTAGGGGCAAAAGAAGAAGCAATGGAATCAACATGTGAAGCGGAGGGTCTAAATATATTTATTGTTGGTGTTAAAATGTTGCTTGTAATAGGAACATTTGTTAGCACATCCCATGAGTTTCTTGAATTCAAATGAGTTAAAGTTTGTGTACGGTTAAAAATATGCGTATAAAGCCCTGATGTATTTTGGGTTGTAGCTGCAGAACTAAACTGGGTGGTATTGTCTGGAGAAGGATTCAGCAAATTCAAAGTTGAACTAGCTAGACCTTTCAGAGTAGGGGATACTTGGAAAACACTAGATAATCTCCACACATCTCTATTAAAAGTTAAATTGTTCTGAGAATCTGTGTTTTCTGAGTTTCCTGACAGAGTAGCACCCTTCCCTGTCAATGCAGTGTGTGAAGGACTGAGTGACAAGCCCTCAAAATGTGGTAAAAGGGACTGTGCAGTAGTGGACAGAATATTGGAAGAAGTAGAGGAAGAAGGTGGAAAAATAAAGTTTAAAGTGCTTTTTCTCTCAATATCCAATCTCTCACTCGAACCCCAGTTCCTTGGCAGAGGAGTCGTGGCGAGCTTATGTTCAAAATAATGTGAAATCTCATCTATAGGCGAAAATGTGCTGCTTGCATCCCTCGTAGGATCACGCAAGACTGACAAAGAGTTGAAGGAAGGTTGTAAAATATTTAGTAAGGGAGATTGAGGAGAAGAAGTTGAGGGGAAGATTTCACTCTGAACAAGAAGCGGAGGTGTGATAGGGTCAAGGATGACAGTGCCTTCTTCAACTACTGATCCTGAATGAGAATAAGTTGTTTGCGAACCACCATGTGTAAAATTGTTGGTGGTAACTGGCAACCTGGTCCTGCTGTGAGGTGTTGTCAGTGTAGACATGCTTTGGGGCTTTGACAGCAAACGCATAGATGGCAACAAAGGCATCTGGGAGGGCAGGCTATCTCGACCAGATAAAGCAATGGGTGCAAAATCAATATCTGGGAGCCGAGTTGGAACAAACACTTGGCCGAATGGGGAAGGGCTAAGTGCAGGAGTGACAGTGGGTGCAAGCGGAGGAAGCGTTGAAAGCTTTTGTGTTGTATTGTGACTAGTATGAAAAGGCAGTGAGGAAGATTTTACAGACTCCAGTCGCATGGAGGGGGTGTGTACTGATGGATTTGCTATTATGGGCCATTGGGCAAACACTTCAGAAGCGGCTGTTGTGGCAATAACCGGACCTGAATCAAGCCCACTTGTTTGATGTATATGCTCTGGAGATGGGATTAATATAGGGACATGGGAGTTGGAGTGTGGAAAGGATGGTGAAACATCTTTTACATTAAATCTAACATTCTCGGTTAAAGTAGAAGTAGACACTTGTACGGTTGGAGTGGGATTTATCAAAGAGACTGCATCTTCAATTTTTGCTTGTATAGTCATTGCATCCCTATTTTGACTTTCATTTTGATTTAGCATGGTTTTCTGCACAGGGAATTCAATGCTAGGTGGTTCCTCCAAGGAATAGTTAAAATCATACAAGCTAAAAATGTCACCAACATCTCCAAAATCTCCCAAATCGTACAGAAATGGTTCACTGCCTGATGCATATTCAATCATGGGAGGATCTACAGGGTCAGTCCAGTTACCTGTAGCCACTGAATGGTTAACCTGGCTAATTATGCTAACAGGTGATCTTTGCTTGTTCTTCCTGTTACTGAGAGATGAAGATGATAGTAAAGACAATAGCAAAATGGGTGCGGTTTCCTCTTTTTTTGGTGTAAAGTTCAAAGCTTTGGTACTGGTTTCCATACTACTGGTTGGGCTAACTTTACTAGCAGTAGCGGAACTGTCTCCAAGACTCTTACTTGTAATGTTATACATTTTGTAACTTTGGGTAGTAGTTTTTGGTACTTTGGTATTTTGTGGCCCACTAGTTGCAAAGTGTCCAATGTTTATGACACTGGGCGTAGTGGTGGTATTAAGAGTAGTAACTGAAGTTTTTAACCAATCCAGTCTAGATTTTTGTGTTACCGTATGCAAAATCCCAGAAGTTGTAACGGTAGTTTTTGTAACATTTCCGTTTTGGTCCTTACTTTTTGTTGTTGTCGGAGAACCCCTATCCATTAGCTTTGCAGTGGTTGTTGTAGAATTTCCATTTCCTGGTTGGTGCGGCAACTGCTTTGTGACCTGGCTATTGGGAACTCTAGTTGTGAGTCTTCTCAGTACAGTTGTAAACCTTCCTGTATAGTATTTAGGTTTAGGGGTGGTTGTAAATTCACCCGGAGGTTTTGTGACGTGAGCTGTTAGCGGTCTAGGTGATGTTCCGAATATTGGCCGTCTTGATCCAGTTAGACGCTTTCTCCCTTGCGATATTAACGGAGTAGAGATGAACCCAAGCGAAGTTTTGGAGCTCCGATGTCTCTGAGGCCGGGGAGCTCGAGCTGTTGTCCCAGCGGGAGGCCTCACAGTTGGTGATGAAAATCTGAAGTGAGGGGGTTGGCTTAAAAGGCTTCGGACCACTCTTCTTGGCAAAAAGTGTATGGGTGCTTGAGAAATCTTGTGTGAATGTAAATTGGAGGTAGTCATTTTCGTATCCATATTGGAGACCATGCTTTGTGAGAACCATGTAGTCTTCTTTACTGTCACCAAAATGGAGAAGGGACATGCCAGCATGATGAAAAAAGTGCAACAACATAAAATCAAAATCTAATTATTTCTAATGATTATAACATATGAACAAGACAGGATGGAGATATGAGAAAATATTGACGGATACAGAATAATTCTTTATACAGGCTAGTTTTAGCTGTATTAGTTTTGGTCATTCGATTCGAAATAACAAGACACCCAAGAGAGAAAAAAAAATCAGGGCCCCAATGAGAAACTCTAAAAGATCAATGTAAAGAAGAAATCCAACTCTGAAAACTTTATAAACCTTGAAATACAACTAGACCAAACCTGCATCCAAACTATGCAGTGCCTTACCCCAAGAGGGAGCAGAGGTAGCAGCTAAGCTAGTTGCTGATGAGTTAGTGGTGGATGTCTCTGGAAAATATTTACAGTGAAACATACAGGCATAAGGTGAAAGACTGATTGACTGATCAAGGCTATGACAGAAGCTAACTTTGTAACATGCAGGATCTTAGCAGTTAAGTGTTAATGTTGAAGCGAGGTATTATAATCAATGATTTTTGAAGGTCTAGTTGCCCAAGGTTACATCAGCATAGATTGTAGCCACAACAATTGACAAGAGTAGTTTATAATGGTTAGGCCTGTCACGATAACAAATTAAAAGCATGATATATTGATACAGATACATGATATACATGATATTAAAACTACTACTACTACTACTACAAAACAAAATAATACCAGTAAACCTATTTTTAAATATACATTAATAGAAAAATGCATGAGCTGCAACAAATAAATAGCAGAGTGAGCCTATATTTAGCCACATAAATTATTTATTCTGCCATCTACAGCACAAATCTTCCCTTATTACATACAAATGGCAAAAATGTCACTGCCATTGCAAAGAAAATGTACAAACAAATATTGAGCAACTATTGAGTCCCAAAATATATAGTTCTAGATTTCATATATTGAACAATAAATCAATTATCGTGATAGGCCTAACAATAGTCAACCTGTATAGCTATTAGGTAAAAGACTAATCTTTCATAATGAAACAAAACAAAATTTGAAATTTAATTTGTGGGATTAACTCCAGTGCAAATTCAACAGGATTTTGCAGTTTATCCTTACCATGCGCATCTGGGTTAGTAGGTGGATAGTTAGTGGCTGATGCCCATGAGATGCTGGTGGACAGTTGTGCTAAAAAGAGCAAACAGCAATAATAATGGAATTAGCAAAATTCTTAAAGCTAAAGCCAAAGCCATATGCAGCATAACAGCATGCTAATTAGCCTAGCTAATCATTCACAACCTTTTGTATTGCACTTTTCAAGCAAATGTGAATAAATTGGAGCAATTGTAATACCATTTTTTGTCCTTGGATAATAGATGTATTTTATATCTGAATAAAAAAGCGCAGTAAATCTTTTTCAAAGAGCTCTATAGGCTACTAGTCTTGTGATACATGTTAAAGAGTCCTATTGTAGATTATCACAGTAGCTCAGATGGTAGAGCGGTCAGATCCACTGACCCACAAGTTGGCTGGTGTGATTCCAGCTCCCACAGATGAACGTCGTTGTGTCCTTGGACAAGACACTTAACCCAACTCGCCCCTAGTGTCTGCATACATTGGCACATGAATGTGTGTGTAAATGAGTGAGTGTTTCCATGTAAAGCGCTTTGAGTACCTTGAAGGTTGGAAAGCGCTCTGTAAAAATGTGACAATTTACCATTTACCATCAGACTGCAACTAAAGCTTCAGTTTCTTCAAGGATATGCAATTTTATTATCTCAAGGTGTCACATTCACATTCATCAAGTCTTTTTTGCATTCAAAGAGTCTCTCCTGAACATCAAGAAGTGAATATATTAAGGGAAATAAACCAAGAATAAATCAAGAAATATGAGGTGCCTTTGATATGATTAGTATGCACACAAAAAGTAGCAAAGATTAATCCTAATCTGCTCATTATAATTCAGGCCATGATTTTTCAATCTATAGCTCTTTTAAAATATAGAAAACAATACAGGGATGGATTTACATCTGAAAAGCACCAAGCATGTAATTAAATCTATTTAACCCTCACAGATGTTTCTCATCCCAAAGTGTCATATAGTAACTCACATGGGTTTTTCTTTCGGATTTGCAACAATACAAAAGGAATTGGCTAATTTAAGAGAAAAACACTTAATCTTAAACATTGTTGGCATTCATTTGACCATAAAGTCAATGAAAGACAATGTAGAGTAAACTAGACTACAATATAGCCTAGCCTAAATAATATATATATATATATATATATATATATATATATATATATATATATATATATATATATATATATATATATATATATATATATATATACACTAGGCTAACTGAAAAGATCAGTGCAGTGTTGTCTTACCACTTGCAGTAGCGTTGGCTGCAGTAGTGTTAGCAGGTGAGGCAGTAGCATTGATTGTAGCATTGACTGTAGCATTGACTGTAGCATTGACTGTAGCATTGACTGTAGCATTGGCGGCAATGGTGGTAGCGTTAACCACATCAGTTGTGGTACCATTGATTCTAACAGTCGTGGCAGTGTTGCTAGTAGTTATGGAAGGTTGGATGCCAGCAGTGCTGTTAGCGTGGTTGCTTACAGTAACATTAGCACCAGTGGTAGAAGCGATGGTATTATGCAGGTGGGTGGTGTTCATGGGAGTGGATGGCAAAGCTGATTAGCAAAAGAAGTTAGCAATGAAATTAAAATACAAATGCATATTGTAAAAAAGACATGTTTTTTGACAGTTTATGCAAATAAATTGTGCTAAAATAACATTTCACAGAAAGCATTTAGCATAAAGATGCAGTGGGAAAAATTATGATTAAGATATGGTCCATCTGCCCAAAGGCAACAGATGGTTTGTTCATCATGATGGATGTAAGAATGACTGGAGGGACAGTGATTTTATTTATTTTTTGGTTGAAAAAATTTTATTTTAATTAAAGCACAAGAGATGGTTTGGGCATGTAAAGAAGACAGTCTACATATGGGGATATTATGCTAAGGTTAGATGGGAGGCCTAGAGGGAAATACAGTATTCATGATTTTCAGGCAAATGATGATGAAATTTGAATTATAGTTACAATGCACTGAAAATGAAGGCTATATGGGTTTTTGTATATTACAATTGTAAAATGCTTCCTGGGAAAGTAAATGCAGCGTTATGGAGCAGCCTTACCACCAGCGGAGGAGGGGGGAGCAGAGGTGGTGCTGGCGGCTGAAGTTAGGGTCTGGTTATTGGGTGAAGTGGGTGGAGCAGTGCTGGGGGTGATGGATGGAGGGGTGGAAGGTGACAGAGCTGCAGCATCAAGCAAAAATAAAAATAAACAAAACAAAAAAACAAAAAAAAAAACTGTCAAGAGCTGAGCAAAAACTACTGCAATAGGCCTATCTGATAATACTATGTCTCCAAATGATGACGAATGATTACTATTACTATCAGTATATAAAGACACTATAAATGTGAATCAATGTTAAAGTTATTATAACTTTCAAACTACTGCTATTGTAATGCTACTATTACTATTACCATAGTAACTTTGGGTTTGGCTTGTTAAGAACATTTCGCTTTTTACTTTTGTGGCATCTTTCCCCTCATAGCCATAAAATAATATAATATAAAACATTCAGAGCCTACATACAAATTCAATATCTTTCACCATGCTATGTATTTCTGACCCAGACTTATTAAATACATGATTAAAAAATGTATTCAGCCCTCAAATTCCACAGTTGAAGATGGATGGGGAGGAATGTTGTTAATTAACTACAGAAAATGTACATCCAGCCAAGCCCTGGTGCCGATGGAGATAAAATGCACCTTATTCTTTTATTAGGTGGCCCAGTCATTATAAGCAGAAATGGCCTTGAAGAAAATGAGTTTTTTCTGGGTTCAAACTAGTTTTTCAGGCTGGGGGAAAAGGTCATATTGTGTTGTATTGTAAACTTCTGTTTGAAGGTCCACCTTCAAGACTCAATTGAGATAGCTTTGCCTAAAATTACATAGTGCACCTGAAGATATTTCTACCTGTCAAACTCAGTTCTATGTCAGTTATTTACTGAAGAGATGTCCACACTGTTACTTGCGGTATCAAAATGATTGCAGCATAAATACATTTGAAATACAACAGTTAACGTAACAGTATTTTCCATTATTAATGCAAAAAGAAAAAAGAAAAAAAGAAAATCCTCAATTTTAAAACAGTTGGTGGTAGATACCCCCAGTTTGAAAATGGGAATCATAACTGGGAAGAAATATTCATATTATTTTTGGATCACTGGAGAGAGTATAGTGCCAGTCTATTTACACAAGAGAGCTCATAATGTGGAAAGTAACCCAGAGGCCAGAGAGGAGCTGGCAGTGCGCTCAGCTACACGAGGAGGGAGCAACACCACAAGCCTGAATTTACTCATAATTACCCAAGAAATGGAGAACGGAATCAGTGATAAATGAAATGTTTGCTTAACTTTTATGAAGGAACAGGAACACAATACACTAAAGGTTGCCCGTTGGCTTGGCGTATTTTGCGTATCTGTGCAAGACTATATTTAGGTGTAGGAACCTGTATCCTGTTATAATAACCATGGAGCCAAGTAATACAATGTCCCATAATGAAATCAGATTCCCACTGGCAATTGACCTACATGATTGTGAAAACAGCTATTCCAGCACTGACTGGCACTGAAAACGAGAATAAAAATGCTAAAACATGGTAAACTTGAACAAATTCAAAAAGTTAAATTTATTGCTCTTGATTGCAAAGTCCGACAGCAACTCACAACTTTGGTGAGCAACAATTTTGAAATACTTGAAATGCTGTTGCTTAGAAGTGTGTAAGCAGTATTTTAAAGTTTGGATTGCTTTTGACATTTTCACAATTGAGGGCAAACTATTGATTTTGCAAATGACAGTGTGGACCATAAGTTGGGACATCTGTGAATGTTTGTCAACTACATTTGATTTGCAACTTTAACAAACCACAAAAATCATTTCTGAGGCCAAGATAAATCATTGCACAATACACAAAAACTAGATCATACGAAATCTTTAAAGGGCCCATATTACACTATTTTCTGGTCTATGTATATCCAGAGTTGTGTTTTATTTCATTCACGGCTGTTTAACACACAAATCCTGTATATTTAAGATGGGTTGTTCTTTCAAACAGAAAACAGTCTGTTCCACATCGTGATGTAATCTGGTAATACAGGAAGTATTACTCAAAACCTTTGTAAATGAAACAAAACACAACTCCAGGTATGTGTTTGAGGAGGTAACAACATTTCAACATGACTTGGGGCTCGATTTTGTCAATTTCGCATAACATAGGACCTTTAAAAGATCAAAGCATTAGAAGGGGTAAAGCAGTTTGGCGATGGGGTGGGGTCTTACCGTGGCTGGTGGTGGCGTTAGTATCAGGGGTGGAGTTAGTGGAGGCAGTGGATGGGTTGGAGGCAGAAGAAGAGGCTGTGACAGGGAGGACCAGAGCACAGACAAGCAGAGACCAGTGAGCCAGGAGGGGCATATGGGTTCATACCGAAACATGAGCAATGCATGGTTGCGGCAATATCTCATTTAAAACTGCACTTTGAACACGACTGGAAATTCACATGGCAAAATAAACCAATGATACAGTTACACAGTGTTTGTACATGTAATAGCAAAAATCAATAGAGCCAACTTACCTTTGGGCATGTGATAAAAATTGAATGAAAGTGTAGTGTTAGTTTAGACTCTCAATTTTCAAATACAATGAGTCAATCCTCCAGCTAGGTAATCCTGACCCAAAAGACTGGATAAAGTGGACTAAGGGAGTGTGATGCCACCCATAGCATTTAGTTCCAGTCAAATGTCTCTCACAATGCTAGCAGTTATAGGAGTGAATTTTGAACCTGGTCCATATTAGGAATTTATTTGCATAAAATAAAAACATCAGAATCAATCAAGAGCTGGTTAATAAGAAGATTTTAAGACCAACATGAGGAAGCTCACTGTAGCAGTTACAGAGAGAGGGGTGACAATTTTATAATGTAAAATCAATTGGAAACAGAGTTGATGGAGCCAGAAGCGCCACCATGAACACTTCCTATTTGGAACGCCACGGCTAGCAGGTTAGCTATGTCCATTTATATAAACAGTTTATGTCCTGACCCAAGATCCTAGCTCAAGATTTGCTCCTGACTGGTTCCAATGCCTCAATGGTTGAATGATGGGTCAAACATACACACACATTTCCCCACAGAGACAATACAGTCTTCAAATGCACATATACTACAAGATTTCATTATAATTAGAATTTACTAGTCAGCAAAATCTGTTACCAAATTTAAGTAGTCTAATGTGGTTTGCTCATCTCAGTTTTGTTCATTTCAGTGACATATCTGAAACAAAGGACCAACAAAATCAAACTTCTCTCTCCAGAGATAATAGCATAAAGTCCCCTGTAATATTTTTTTCCCTTTCTTGCTTCCCCTTAAGTAGCCATATATGTTTTAATACAGAAGGACCATGTATGTCCCTGATTGGTACATTCATCTGTCAATCACCCCCATCTGAACTTGGTGAGATGAAACCAGGTAACCAGACTCACATCTTCATAAAGTATTGGAGAAGTGCGTATTCTTGGCCTCCTAGCCTAATTGAACTGCAATGCACAAATTTCTGAAATGATAGTGACATCCATTTACATGGTCCATTGAGATCTGACCTCCACTGCTGCTCTAATCATTTCAGTTAAATTCAGGAGAAAGTCTTCAGTCTCTCGTGCGTCTCTCCCTGGGGCATCATTCAACAGCAATGACCTTTCACAATAAAAGTCCCTGGTTGTGCAGAGTGTGAGAACTGACATTCAAACTCCTCTGTCCTCGAAAGTGTTTTGACCCACAGCTACTGTCCACAAGCCAGATGGGACTTCCTGTTTTAGTTTGATATCATGTTTACCCAGAATGTAGCTTTTACAGAGTAAACTTTTAACAATGCACTAAACCACGCCATGGTGTTAGCCCAAGTTTTTCCCCTTCTCACAGGATAAAAGTAGTAGGAAATATGTGCTTTCAATTATGGTTTTGGATATGACCCAAAATGTGGCAGGAGCAGAGAGGGTCTTTTCCAGATAAGCCCGGTCAGGAGTACTTAGCTGGACACTATTACTATAAAATACAAGATAGAGGTATACCATTTATATAACCATAAAACAGAACACTAACTTGGCTCCCCATTTTCTACCTCTTTTGCCCAGATACTATATGCTACAGCTGTGTTAATTTAGTTGACAACATTTTTGTCATAGTTTTTGTCAGTGTCATATTTTTGCTGACTAAACTCGGTAAAAAGTGATCATAATGATGACTTAAACTATGAGTAAAAGTACACAGTTTGGTCTGAAAGTAATAATATTTTGGTTGAATAATAAATACTAAACATCAAAGAATGAAAGAAGCAAATGAAGACAAGATTTAAGTTTCATTTTCAACCAAGCCTCAAACCAAACAAGTCCAGAGCAATACAAATAGTTTAAAGGTGCATTGTGTAACTTTTCTGGTGGAGGTTTTGTCAGATGCTTTTCTTCATGGAGGTGTTATTGCTTTGCCTGGAATGTTTTAGCCTGGTTCATCAGCCGGTTTCACTTCGTTTCACTTCGTAGAACCCGTCTGACCTTGCAGTGTTAGAAATTGTTTGCTCGACAATAGGCAGGTACTTTTTTATCATTTAACCAATCGCTGCTATTTGGTAGTCACTTATGTAATGCACCACTAATGGGGCTAACTGCTTTTCCCAAATCCCATAGGAAGAAAGGCAATAACGCCTTTCCCCTTGATGAAATTCACCAAACATTCTCTTTATTCTGGCTTTAAATCCTCGATCTCGAGAATCGTTGACAACACTGAATATATGGCTCTTCGCTGATTGGCTGGTGTCCGAATTTGCACTTCTGGGGTTTTTGCGAACCGTCTATTGTATTTTAATTCCTGACCGAGTTGCTGGAGAGAAATGAAATTGAGCCGAGGCACTAGATGGTGCCAGCCTTGCTAGGAATGTTTCACGGTATGGTATTGAACCTTTATATCTTCACGGAGACAAACCAGACCAAGTTACAGGTCAGATCAGTTGAGAGGCAACCTTTTTTTTTTTTTTAAGTATTTTTGAGCTATAAAACCACCTGTTAATTGAATAAATGTAAAGTAGAGCTGTTTAATGTCATACTGTGGAACATTCCAGGCAGAGCAATGAGATATCCATAGAAACAAGCAGGTGACAAACCCCACCTAGAAAAGTTGCATAGTGCAGCTTTTAATTAGAATAAAATTAGCGTAAAATGTTTGTTAATCTTGACTAAAACTAAAGGGCAAAGATTTACTGAAACTAACTTAAACTTGCCTGCCAGAATGATTGTGACACTGGTCCATATAGTATAAAGTTCAAATCATCTTATAATCATAACAAATATATTATATTATCATTAGCTTGTTAGATAATAGCCCCTCGGCAGCACGTTTACATAATGCCTGTCCGTGTAAGCAGTGACCCTGGTTTTCCAATCAGAGCAGAAAATATCTCTGGGGTATGGAATAAAAAATATCCTTCATATTAGAATGTGACGTTCCTCCCGGACACGCAGGGTTTATCTGAGGAGAGCGGATGGCTGCAGATGGACTCATTGCACAAATGCATGTGATTGGGCTATTGTATGGACTGATTGTGCCCATCCAGAATCTATGTTTTCAGAGTTTAAGAGAACAATAAACAAGTCTAAGCACTGATTTTCACAAGACAATACAACATAATTTAACCATGAGAACATAGAATGAAAAATGTGTCTCACCTAAACCTGATATAACCTATAGACAGTGGTGGAAGAAGTACTGAATATTGTTGCTTAAAGGTTGTATGGAGGATTTTTTTTTTTTAGTTTCAAATTGTCATTGAAAGTTTAAAATACCCTTACAGAGACGCAGCAGCCTTGTAATTATGATGACCAAAAAAAAAAAAAAAAAGAATGAAAATCTATCAACTGTGGACATAGTGCGGCTAGATAAACATCAGCCAACAGAAAACGAGGCTCCCTCACTTTCTATTGGCTGTTAGGTTGTCAATCAAATTCCCTTCGTTTCTAGTGTAACTGACTCGTCGGCGTGTGTGGATTACGTGGTTTATGCAGCGGTTCTTAGAGACTTTTTCAAACTGGCGCTTCCTCGAAATTCACACAAAGTTTGTTGCCATGGCGGACGAGAATCCACGACCATTTCGGCGCAAAAGAAAGTCAGTTTTTGAGGTCGCTGAAAGAAGAAGAAGAAGAGAAGGGGAAAAGGAGCGAAGACCAAATGAGGTGATTCTTGGAGATTCCTTCCAGCGATGGCGCGACTGAAGCAGACGAAGGGTCTAAAAACTGATGCGTCGATTGTTAAAATATTTCTAGACAGGTCACTTCAACAGTAATTCTGAACACGCACTGGATGTAAACAAGCATGATTTTTAGAGTAAAGAGGCGGGAGGAGGTGTTTCTACTGAGGGAGCTGTGGAGGAGGAAGGTGGTGTTACACATGCACAACATTTGATAAAGGACTGTCGCCGTATTTCACTTCTCTAAAAATCCTCTATACAACCTTTAAGTAAAAGTAAAGATACTGGAGCATGAAAAAAATGTCTTGTTTAAAAATTTACTTAAAGAATAAAAAGTAAAAGTATTTCACGCAGATTTTGAGGTCTTAGAAAACTTCAAATGTAATGATTGTTTAAGATTTGTGCTGAATTATTGTTCAGTCAAAAAAATTGAATGAGTTATTTTTTTCTCTCTGTTATTTGTGTTTCTTCAAACTACAAAAAGATTAAAAATAAACCCTCAGCCTTTTCAGCAGGTCTCAAACTTTCATAAAAAATACTTTTACTTTTCAGTTCTGTTCAAAAATATAGTGGAGTAGAAAGTACATATATCTGCTCTCAAATGTAGTGAAGTAAAACTAAAAAGCAGCCACTTTAAAATACACTTAAGTAAAGTACAGATACCTAAAATTTTTACTTAAGTACATTACTTTACTACTTTAACTTTATGTTCCACCACTATCTATACAAAACCTCAAACCTATAGAAACATGAACTTTGACCATTTGACAATGACCATTTTGTTAATACTGTGAAATACTAAGGACCAAGTAAATGAGATATTTCTACTGGTTTCTGGTTAGTGATTTTAAAGTGTAATTCTTTCCTACCTGGACAGCCGAGTCCTGAGGAGGCACAGCTGGAGGTGGGGGACGTGATGCTCGGTGGAGACACACCTTTACAAAGACAAAAACACATTTCAAAGTTAACAAGTTTGAATGACAAGGCAAATCACTCAACAACCCTACTTTAATCTGTCTGCTACTTAAAGGTGCATTGTGTAACTTTTCTGGTGCAGGGCCTGTCAAATACTTTTCTCCATGGATAATATGTTATTACTTTGTCCAGAATATTTCAAAGTATAATAGTACACCTTTCATGGAGACCAATCCAGACTAAATTACAAGTCAGATTTGTGGATTGGCCACCGAAACAAGCAGGTGACGGAACCCGAACCAAAATGTTACATAGTGAACCTTTAAGTATTTAATAAGGTTCACAATCAAACAAAACTTAAAAAAACAAAAGAAAAATTCCACACTTACTCAAAACTCACTCAATCATTTACACAGCCAGAGGTGGTAATCACTCATTACACTGATGTGTGTGACTTTATAAATACATTGTACTTAGGAGTAGTTTTTGGACAGTATACTTCCCATTCCCATTTGAGCATTATTTAGTCTATAGTAAAAAATACTCTTATTTGAGTAAAATAATTGTTACTCTCCTGACTGTGAGCAAGTCTATAAGTGAAAAAGCTTGAGTTTATGTTGACAATTTTAAAAGATTTGAACATTTGTTTTAATTTAATCTAATTTCTGTGGTCTATCCTTTGTCTTAAATGTTTTGTCTTTTCAGTTATAAAATTATAAATCGTCCTGAGTTACTCTTACAACTACTCTTACTAGTTCCCCCAATGGTAAAAGTGAAAAATTACGCAACATTTGAACTCGAATAAACAGCAAACTATAAACAGCCCTCTGTAGCATATTAAATTACTGCTTCTACTTCAACAACCGACTACTACAACTACTAAACATGAGTCTTTTATTGGCCAGACAAATATCATCCTCTTTACTACAAAGGCATAAACTTGAAAGCAAAAGCAAAATAAAACAACATGCCCACATAAAAATTTTAAAGGTGCATTATGCAAATTTTCTGGTGGTCCATCAAATTCTTTTCTCTATGGAAATGTCATTGGTTTTGCAGGAATGTTTCATAGTATGACACCAAACCTTTCTATCTCCATGGAGACCAAACTAGACCAAGTTACAGGTCAGATCTGCGGAGAGGCAACCCCGCTCACAGTCAGAATCCCTGTTTTTTAGACCTATAAAACCACCTGTAATTGAATAAATATAAAGTAGAGTTGTTTAATGTCATACTGTGGGACATTTTAAACAGCGCAATGGCATATCCATACAAACAAGTACCAGAAAAGTTATTTGTAAAAAAAAAATATTCATTGTTATTCTGTATGTAACTAGGATCCTAAAAGAGCCACACAGATAGGAGCAGCGTGCTTTCCCAAATACCAGAGGAATTTACTGATCAAGGTTCAAATACAGCTCTGGATTGTGCCGACTCATGCTCTCATTCAGCAGTGTGGCCCTCACTTTTACATACTTTGACTTTTATCGCTCCCAGTAGAAACCCGAGAGTCTAAACTCAGCTAAAGGACCCGAGCAGCTGGACCAACTTGTGCTTAAATCCACCTGGTTGTAATTATGAGCCGTTAAAATCAAAATATGGTCCAAAAAGTCCCTGGCAGCGAAGATTGGAGACTGTAAAAATAGTGGACAAAGGGTCAGAGAGCTAATGAGGGAAGACGCATGGGCAGGCTCCAAGAAAGATTTTAACACTCAGAAAATGCACACTTGGTAGTCCTATAGGCTCAATTATATGTTGTTTTATTTGTTTACTTTTCATGGTCCACCTTTTTATGCGATCAATAAGCAAATTTTCTGCCAAGTCGTAAAATTTGTCTCTGCAGGAATTCCGTTGACTAATAAAGCTATACTCAGGATTTTTTTTTTCCAAAGCCAAGTTAGAAGAATGTAGAACAAATATTTCACAATTCTCTAGCTAGTAACAATTCATATTAAATTACAGTTAAATTATCAGGACAGCTATAATAGCCAAAAAACACAATTACACAGTCTATAGTGTCTTGTCCAAGGGCACAACAATAACTTAACTATCTACTCTAAGACAGGAGGTGACGCCACAAACTTACAGATTATATCTGTAGAGAGGTGACCCTGCTGATAGTGAGGATGCACATTTTTCAAGACAGTGAAACCCATGTAAGATAAAAAAGTGTAATATATATATATATATATACACACACACACACACACACACACATACATACATACCAGGGGTCGGCAACCCAAAATGTTCAAAAAGCCATATTGGCCCAAAAAAACAAAAACCATACCTGCCTGGAGCCAAAATTTAAAGCCTTATATAAGCCTAATATGAAGGCAACATAGGCTGTCAGTATATTAGCTGTATAAGCCGACTATTAAAATGACTAAGTAGGCTACAAATACAAAATGAGCATTCATGATTACACAAACACCTTTTGCGACCCGCTCATACTCGGTGCGCCGTCTGTAGCCACTGAAATCAGGTGGTTAGTGTTGATTCCTTTGTCATTTAGGCCCTGTTTACACGTACACGGGTATTTTTAAAAACGGAGACATTTCCCTTCGTTTGTTCTCATCGTTTACACGCAAACGGGGAATTCGCCTCTGAAAACGAATCCTTCTAAAAACTCCGGTTTCACGTTTACGTTTACCTGTTGCTTTGACGACGATGATGGAAGTGTTCAGAGCAGCAGTCGCATTTCTTCTGATCGTGCATAGGAGCACTCAGAAAACAGCAGCATGTAGAACTTTGTACACAACATCAGCCCGGAGCAGAAGCTCTGAACTCGGGCAGGAGCACCAAACACACGGGAGCAGTCAGCGCGCAGCTCCTCAAGACGGGGCTGGGGGTCCAGTGTTGGTCAGATTATCCGGAGGCTTCGTCCTCCGTGTCCTGGTTCCAGACGGGGGCGAGCAAGACCAGCGCGCAAAGGACTGGGTCCAAGCGCTTCCGTGTCGTCCTCTGTGCGCTGGTTCTGTGCGGGAAAAGCGAGAATGCGCTGTGGGCCACAGGTCCGGGCGGGCTGCTCTGGTCCTCCGCGTTCGACCGCGGCTGGTTCCGAGGTGGTGCAGCATCGGACAGAAGCGTGAATCCAGTTTGGTTCGTTATATGTTGTTCTGAGCAGTCCTTCTGCGCAAGTGTTTTTTTGTTGTTTGTTTTTTTTTTCGGGGAAAGCGCTTCTCAGGTGGAGGCACCGGACACCACCCCGGCTTCATCTTATCTATTTGTTCTGCTGAAACACTTTTAATGTCTTTGCATTTGCACACAGCTGATGGATCAGATCCATGACCAGAGATGAACGAGGGTTTTACCCCTAAACAAACCATATTAAAACTAGTGCTGTCATGCGATTAAAAAAATTGAGAGATTAATTAATTATGATCTGTAATTAATTAATCTAATTAATCTCATTTTAATCTCACCTAAAAATTGCTGAGAAAAGACTTCAGTTTGAGGTATTTTCATTTAAATTCATTATTACATTATTGTGGCAGATCAAAAGACTGATATAGATTTAAAAAAAGTGACTTTATAAAGTCATTTATTGTTTAACAAATCTCTTCAAATTGGCTGTTGAGCCTAAGTCTCCATGAATAAGAAACTGTTTGCTGTAAAGTAGCAAAGACGAGGAAATCTGAACATAATAACCTTTGTCTACTTAAAGACAATCAAAAGTCCAGTCTTTCCTTAACCATATTAAAAATATTATTGATAGAGAAATGCTTTGTATATGAGATCACTGGTTTTAATCCTTGTTTTAGTCCTGGTTTAGACCTGCTTTAGTCCTAGTTTAGTCCTGGAATGGATTAATCCTGTTTTAGTCCTGGTGTTAGTTCTGGTTTTAGTTCTGGTTTTAGTTCTGGTTTTAGTTCTGGTTTAGTCCTGGTTTAGTCCTGATTTAGACCTGGTTTTAGTTCTGGTTTTAGTTCTGGTTCTAGTTCTGGTTTTAGTTCTGGTTTAGTCCTGGTTTAGTCCTGGACTGGATTAGTCCTGGTTTTAGTCTTGGTGTTAGTTCTGGTTTAGAGGCGCACAGGAGGAAGCACGGTTTACGGGAGCACGTCGGTGTCGGTGTTTTACCTGTGCACTGCTGCCTCTGTTCTACTGGCTCTTCGACCTCGTCCATTGTGCGACTGACGCCGCCAACGTGAACATGACGTTTACATCGCTCTTACTGCGCGCGTTTTGTGTGGGTTTCCGGCAATGAGTGGAATTACCGAAATAAAAAAATGTATAAATGTGTTTTTTTTGTGTGTGTATGTGTTGTTGTTGTCCCAATAACACATAAAAACTGGTTTTTATAATAAAGCAACTCGCATACAGAAACACTAAAGTTAGAGATTAAAAATGAGATTAACGCGATTAAAAAACATAACCTGCTAAATATGACTGTAATTAATTAATTGCAATTAACGCGATAATTTGACACCCCTAATTAAAACAACAACAAAAAATCATTCCTTTTCCATTTTAACTCATTTTTGAAAAAGCTCCAGGGAGCCACTAGGGGAGTGCTAAAGAGCCGCATGCGGCTCCGGAGCCGCGGGTTGCCGACCCCTGATATATACTGATATAATACTGGTATTGGATATCAGCACCAATATTGAAGATTTGGATGGATCGGGTATCGGTCCCAAGATATCATTTCAGTCGATATCACATTTTGCTCTATAAATAGGTGTAAGACAATTGACTAGACAATGTTGGCCCAAACACCTTGCAAAGCTATTCTGTAATTACTTTAAAGGATGATGATCCTAAGCACATTTGGATCATTTCTACCTTACGTAAACTGTTAAATAAAATAAATGATATTTTCAGTCTCTACCCTAGTATTGGTTGATATTGGTGATCGGAAGATACTTCTAGCTAAAGTATCGGTATCAGAACAGAAAAAACTGTATTGTGGATCCCTATTAAAGGTGCATTGTGTAACTTTTCTGGTGGAGGGCCCGTCACCTGCTGGTTTAAATGGAGATGTTACTGCTGTGTCTGGAATCTTCCACAGTATGCCATTAAA